CTGTTATACAATCTATGGCACAAAACCCCAAAATGAAACTCTGCTAAAGACATGAGCAGAGGGATGACTGGGAGTGCATTCTTTGGTCAGAAGAGATTAGAATAAATTTGTTTAGCTCAGATGATGTTGTAGAAGCCAATAATGTAATTACAGCCAATAATAGATTTGCACTTTTTAAAATGTAATAGGCCAATAACATAATCAAAGTCCTGAACCGATAAGGTAATAACTTTTAGGGGGTTGTTTTCCAGGTAAAAAATAAAAAAATCTTTGCAAATGTAATAACCAGCCAATAACGTAGTAAGCTATTAGATTATTGGCCAGTTATTACATTCTAAAAATGGCAAATTTATGATGTTATGGCCACTATTATTGGCTTCTACAGATGTCCAGCATGTTTGGTGGGAAACCTGGCCAGGACTGCCACAGTGAATTCATTGTCCCAACAGTGAAGCACAGAGGTGAGCGTGTGATTATATTTGGTTGCATGAGTGCAAAAGGTGTTGGGAAGGTGTTATAGATGGCACCATGGGTTCCTGTGGAAATAACAAAATACTGGCTAACTGGATGACTCCCAGTCTGCAGATCTAACCCTCTTTTGTGCTTTTTAATCATAGCTGGGCTCACCTGCTGTCTCTGATGGCTCTGTGAGGCACCGCCAACGGAGCGACTGGTCTGAGTCTGAGCACCTCATTGATCAGAGAGCACAGGACTGGAAGTCTGTGTCTGTCACTGTATTTGGGATATCGTCCTTCTAGTACCGTGCACAGCTCCTCATACACTCTGGTCTGCACCTGAAGATTGAAAAAAAGAGAAGAGTGAGACGTTGAAATAGAATTCAGGGTTTGTTAATGCTGTAAAAAAAAAAAAAAAAGATTGCAGTGCCTCTGGTCTGTGCAAGAGGAAGGCCACAGTCCAGTTCAGCCAGGCTGCAGCCGTCTCTGTTCCCCCGATGAGGAGGTCCACAGTCGCCATGTGAACGTGAACATCTGTGAGGAGCTGGAGACAAGACGACATCTAATTTAGTGCAATATTCAAGATGTACAATCGATGTTTTTGACTTAAATTAAATTTGATTTATTATTATATTTAGCACAACTGTTGTGACATTATATAAAGGCAAATATTGTATGATCTGAGGTCACTAATTTACAAGCACCTCAGTATCAGTCTCTGCTGCTGTTTCCTGTATGTACGTACCGCTCCATGTTCTGTGTTGTCTTGCTTCTCGATGCCCTGGAGGAGGGATTCTGTGATGGCGTCCTCGTTTCTTTGCTCTTGTGACTGCTCAAATAACAAAGCAAAAGTTGATAATAAAAAGGTTTTAAAAAGGAATTGATAGAGGCATGATTAGTGAAATATTCTGAATAAATACACACAAAAATTGAGTTGAAAGGTGTCTCTGATGTGTTTTTTTAACCCGTTTATTTGTGTGATTTTGACATTTAAATGTCATTCAATCACTAAGTCTCACCAAACCTTTTTTTTTTTTTTAACCTGTGACTAATAAGGTTTTTCTGTGGTCTGTTTTTTTTTTTTTTTTTCCTAATTAAGACATTTTTCAAACTTATATTTCTTTCTAGTTGTTGTTACTAACCTTGTAATCGTTAAGGTGTCTTCTTATAATTTCATCTCTCCTGGCCACCTCTTTCAGGAGGCGGTCAAACACAGGATTGGGTAATTTCTTTGAAACAACAGATGACATAAAGTTGAATTTCCATTCAAAACCTGTTGCTGTTTTTTTTTTTTAACGAGTCAGGATGTTGAATATTTACTCACTCTGAGCAGTGGGAAGGAATCCAGAGCAGAAATCCAAGAGGAGCCCCACAGAGCAACAATCTCATTCAGACAGCTGTGCAGCTGCTGCAGCTCTGAAGAACTCTTATCATACTAGAAAAACACAAAGAAATGACTGTTCGCTAACAAAATAGCACATTATGAAATTCATCATGCAATACAACCTTCTAAAATGGCCAACACAAGCAGTGACCTTACCCAGTTCCAAAGTAAGCAATCAGCCAAGCACCAATTCGGGGGCAGAGCCAAGTTGTGGCTAAAACAGACTAAAATCTGGCCACCCCACACAACCAAGAGTGGAACTTGGCTGCATGTTTACTCATATAAACCAGAGTTACAACCAGTAGCTACTATTTTTCTGGCAGAGCGGGTTTGAGGAACTGTTTCTCTACAGATGGGGTTCCCATACAGCCACATTTTAACACCACAACCACATACAACCAAGTAGTTATAACTAGAAAATGTTCACACTGATTTATAGCAATTCAAAGATTTGGTATTATTGTCACTGAAAAGTGCATAGACAGTATTAGTTAGAGTGTGCATGATTTAGGTCTGGCTGTGGATTTATCTGACGTTCTTGTATGTTGTCTGGATAAAACTTTGAAGATCTCTGGAAACAGATGATGCAAACTGCTGAAGAATGCAAGACTGACACAGAACATGCAACCAAAAGAAGAAAAAAGAAGAATGTGAGGTCTGAGGTGTCCTGAGTCAAACAAAGGACACTTTTGATAAAATGGGCAATTATCTTTTGAGCTTTCTAATCACCTAAAAAACAAAACTTTCCAGATTTTAAATCAATTGAGTGTTACATAAACAAGCTGATTATACTTTACATGAGTTCTCACGTACGTCTCCGTGGCAATCTTGATGATAAGAGTGTGACCTACAAAAATCCGTATGTGGCGGTGATTTGTCGCCACCACAGCTGTTCATTCATGTAGATTGTTCCATCGCTTTAGTACTCAGAGAACAGATACTCACTTCTTCTCCAAAAGCCAGAGTGGTGATGACGTTACTGGCTGCCACTGTGAAATCCTCAGAGAGATCCACAGCGCTGCCTCGATAGTCCATCAAAACCTAAACGGTGAACAAGCCTTCATCACTTTGGAAATACCCCAGCATTTAGATTTGAATCCCTGCCGTGACATTACAGCTTATTTCTTTTAACTCTGTTGTCTGCTGGTGAACAATTTGTTGCTTGTTTTCTTTACCTTTCGCAGCTTGAGTGCCTGTCTCTCGATCACACTGTGCAAAGATTTTTGGCAGCAACGCTGTAGCGCGCTGTGGACGAGGCGACGATGGGCCCTCCACTCTTCATTGTAGTCCCCCAGAGAGATGGTGTGACCTCCCCCGGACACAATGTTACCTGATTTGAGCAGCAAGAGACCATAAGGACACAGACAATACTTATAGATGCCCAAGGTAGACGAAGAACTGAGCATTCTTTACCTGTGTATGAAATTGGTCTCCCAGCAAAGTCAGACCATTTCTTCACCAGTGCTTCTCTTATGACTTCACTACTGTTTAGCACCACCATGGCTGAAAGAACACAGTGCAGGATTTGGCCATGGTGTCCAGTTAAACATGTGTCATTGTCATATCAGCAATTGATGTAATAAATGTATCCACAAAACAGGTGATTACTTGTGTTTCCGCACTTAAGGCGATAAATGCTTCCATAGCGTTGTGCCAGATTGGTCAGGTGAATCGGCAGATGATCGTGTGTCAGCTCCATCATATTGCCTACGAGGAAGAGGCTAGTCGGGCCTGGGAGGGAGGGAGGTGAGGAGCGAGGAAGAAACTGATAGAAATACTGCAGAAGTCTAGACTCTGCTCCTGAATAGAGTTTTAAAAAAAGAAAAAAAAGACAAAGGTAAGGTAGAAAGAGAATTTTTACGAATGATAAATAGCAGTTGTCCATACAGCCAGCATGACTTTGCTACAAATATTAGGACGATAAATAAATAATTACCTGCAGAAGTACTTCCCTTGTCATTTCCCTGTACATATGAGTCTCTCTGACCAGAAGTCCAAATCAGCACCACAAACAGGATTACAACAAGGAACACAGCTACCAAAGTGACCGTCGGTATTTCCATCACCATTTTGTGTCTCCTTCAAAAAGCTGGTCAGCATGCTGCTCTTCCCTCTTATAGGCACCTCACGAATCTCACAGCCAATCTGCTTGATACAACATTGACGTTTTCACCCCAAGTCAAGGGCATCTAAACGTTTTTTAGGTCAGCATATCTCATGATGAGATGAAACACATGTAACGAGCGACAGCTTGATAAACATGGTCGGGACTGAAGGGCGTGATAACACATTACGGGTGACATCACAATCAGTCATGCTGGTGTTTCTTTATCTTGTGGAGCGAGAGTGCATGGAATTGAGAATTGAGAGTTTGGGTGTTTTAATTTACTCTTTTGAAACAAAACAAAAAAAAAAAAAGACTCTTCAGACCCACATTAGCCACATTTATTCCAATGGAGTGAGACAGTGCATATTTAATTACAGTAGTAGTGGGGTGGCAGACCATGGCGGTGCACAAGAGGGTGTTAGAGACAAAACAAAACTGTGTTGAAATGAATGGGATCAGGCAGAACAGGATACAAAAGTTACAATAAAACATTTCTCCACTTTGCTGTTATACTTCCTATAAAAAAAAAAACAGGTCAGAAAAAAAAATCTTGCACATTGAATCAAATGTACTGATAGCTGCCATTATAGCTATCAAAATCACTATATGCAATTTCAATTGGAAGGAGACGGTTGAGATCCACTGTCGTCTGGATTTTGCTCTGTCAGATGTAAGGTTTTTCCAGTTGAAGAGCTCACGGACGCTGATGCACCTTTAGCCGTGAGTTGCAGGAGAGAACCTGGAGGGCCTGAACTTCATCTCGGTGAAGGGGATGGAGGAGTCTTTACCTTTCCAGTCTATCCAGACTACTCCCTGCATCAGAAAGGACAGCGAAGGTCAGTCATATTCAGTCAGCAGGAGACAGAGGCAATTAACTGTTCACGAGAGATTACCTGATTATTGCTGCTGCTGCCGTAAAGTCCGTTGAGGTTGGTCTTGTAGCAGTTCTTGTACCACCAGCCTCCCATGTAGGCCCTGGCACAGTGGATGCCCAGAGGATCAGGGTCCTTGTCTCGGGATGAGAACGGACGTCCATTGTGGTACTTCATAGAGTCACCTGACAGAGGAATGCATTGACGTTAAGAACAAAATTCTCAGGTGTATACTGTTCAAGAATATTCGTTTACAAATCGGCACCTGCTGTTCCTGTGTAGCCAGACACTATAAGAGTATACTGCCTCTCCTCTGAGTCGATGGAGAAGTTGGCATAGTGAGCGTAAGCGGTGTCATTTCCAGATCGCATATCCACTCTCAAACTCACAGGGCCGACGCTGGTCAGGTTGTGCAGGAGCTCGTTTCCTGGGCAGGAGCAGGAGGAAAGCGTGCGGTTTAGGCAGATTTACTAAAAAGCTATTTTTGATTCAGATGCGATGATGGTAATGAGATCTTCCTCTAACTGTACCGAGCCAGAATTCTTCACTCAGGTTTCCGAATCCAGCGCTGTATTCACTCCAGGTTCTGTAGAAATCAGTTTTTCCATTCATTCTCCTCTGGAACACCTACAAAACACACAGGCTGCTGTCACAACTCGTTTTTATCATTTGTACACTACCAAGTTTAATTCAGCAGTTTGTCGTACCGTCCAGCCGCCTCCATCTGTCTCCATGTCACAGTAGACTCTCACTGCTCGACCCTCTTTCCCTTGTGGGTAGATGTCCACCTCTCCTGACTGCAGAGCTCCGTTCAGCAGCTCCTGAGAGCACTCGGTGGGGTAAGGGAAACGCAGTTTTCCTGAGGAATAAAGGAAAGTTGTTGGTTAGCATAACGATAAGGTGAAATAATAAAGTAAATTATCAGGTATGGCATTAATAAAAATGTTCCTGAGAGCTTCAATAGAAGGCAACTGGACTTCTCGTTTTGGTTTTTGAAGAAATTTCACAGACATCTTCAAGAACCAAAAAAAAAAGCATTTAGGATTATTGTAATCTGTAGTATTGATTAACACATTACCTGTGATGAATTCTGTGGTGACAACAGACGTGTATTGTCCATCTCTCTCGCCTTGAACCACAACGATGTAGCGTGACATAGGCAGCAGGCCCGCGAGCCTGTACTCTGTAAGGGTGGGCTCCAGGATCAGCTCCTAATAGATGCACAGATGGATTCTGTAAATGTTGGCACTCTCTTTGTAGTATTCCATGCCAATAATGAGGGTTTCAAACCTACCTTTGTCTCCTCTCCTGCCACCTGATAGATGACTCTGTAGCTGTGGTAAATGACGGTGGACCTCCAAGTGATCACTGCAGAGCGAGCGCCCACCTCGCTGGCTTTCACCACTGTGAGAGAAAAGAAGTTCACTTGCTTAAAACTTTCCTTCTAATCTGTTTATTTCGGGATGTGAAATGTCCTGAATTTACCTTATTTACTCACCATTTGCAGTCGTGAACGTAGTTGCGATGGCCATGCTCTGGAGACTGTCCTTCTGGCTCAGCACTTTGACCATGTACAGGGTTCCCCTCTGCAGGCCTCTGAGCTGGTGCTCCACTGAGTTTCCTGACAGCATCACGGTCACTGTGACATTAGGAGCTGCGGCAACAAAAGGAGAACGTTAGCAACACTTAGCTTATCCATTAGGTCATTAGGGTCATGCAGCCACACTCACTCTTGGAGGACTCATAGCTGATGATGAAGCGGTCTACTTTCCCCAGACTGGGTGTCCACTGCAGCACAGCTCTGGTGTCTGTCACATTGACAACTTGAAGATGTGTTGGAGGGGCAGGCACTGTAGCAAGAAGAGATTCCACAACACATTTAGTCACATCCTGAGATTTTTTTTGTTTTTTTTTAAGTAGCTGTACAAAGAGCTGTCTAACAGTGTACCTGTGGTGATGACGGATGTGAGACCGTCACTCTGGGCTCGACCAAGTGTGGCAGTTACAGTGATTAGGTAGGAGGATCCGGCAGACAACTCGGACAGAACAACATGGGACTTCTGAGAATCCACCATCACAAAGCGGCTCTCCCCTGACGGGATGATCACAAGCATCACAATGAAATACTTTTCACAACTAAAGAACCACAATAAGTGACACTATGGTTATTTGGAGACACTAAGGACGGATGGAGATGACACACCTGTGATGATGTTGGTGTATACAACCCTGAAGCCTGTGAACACTGTCTTTGGTTTGGACCAGGAGACCGCAAAAGAAGACTCGGTTACATTGCTGAAAACCATCTCTGTGGCAGGCTCAGGACCTAACAAGGGAAACATGGAGATTTTCATTTAATATATAGCATAATTATTCCACCCAGTGTTGACTGTGTTCCTGGTGGTAAATTACCTGTGATTGCAGTTACTCTGTGAATCTTTGATCTCCTGTCTGCTGTAGCACCATATATATGCAGGAGGTAGCGGGTGTTTGCCCGAAGATTACTGAACTCCACAGAACGTACACTGCTGGGGACCACCATGGAGATCCTCTTGGTGTCAGCCTTGCCTCTTGCTCCAACAGCTTTAGTTGTCATATTGGTGCTTTCACTTTGTACCGGAGCTTCGGTTGCGTTCTTAGCTGCAGAGATCTTTTCTCCTTCAAGAGCTTCCTCTTCAAACTCTTCGTGTTCGTCTTCGTCGCCGTCTGTCCGTGGCTCTCGTCTGATCACAGTGAAGTTCTTGAACATTCCTTGTGGTGCTGACCAAGTGATGGTGAAGCTGTATGAAGAGATGTTCACGGCTTTAACAGATCCTAATCCAGTCCCTCCAGTTCTCTTAGTGCTTATCCCAGAGCCGTGGATAGTTGTTTTGTTCTTATTCGCCTCATCTGATGTCGCCACCATGGTTGTATTCACTATGTACTGACTCTTCTGTGTGAATTTCCCTTTTCCAGCCTTGCCAGCATCAGTTTTTCTGTTGTCAACAGACTGCACATTTGTAGTGTCTACTTTAACTATCTTCGTTTGTTTTTGTCCAGATGACTGGGTAACATTTTTCTCTGCCAGTGTGGACTGTTCCAGAGATTCCTTGCCTGTTCTGGTTTTGTTTGTTCCTGTGGCCTTGGATAAAATGGTCACAATTTTAGTTGTGCCATTTATTTTCTTCACATTACTCTGTGTCACATTGGTTAGAGGCTCATCTTTCAGGTGGTCAGATTTAGTATGGGTTTTACTGGCAGTTCCTTCCTTAACAAAGACTTTTTTAGTGGCCAGGACTGCTGTTTTGCCTTTACGAGCCTCCTCTTGCTTTCGTCCCTCATGTTTCAGGAGAACTTGACCGACAGTTGGGCGACTGGTCTTTGTGGAACTTGAAGAACCTTTAATAGTTATTTTCTTGACAGAAGTTTCCTGCTTGGCTTGTGTTTTAACACCTGCTTTGGCCACTTTGGCTTTAGTGTCACTCTCTTTGGTTTCCTTCTTCTGCTCCTTCTTTTGGAAAAGTGTGTGCTCTGCCTTGGTGGTTTTTTCCTGGGTGTTTTCCTTGTCTTTGTTCACCTGCAGGGTCACTGTCTCCACTGTTAGCCTGGCCTTCCCTTTGGCAGCTTCTGTAATTGCAGAGTAGAGACTTGAAGTTAGTCAATGGCCAAAGAAAACATCATTATCTAATAACAGCGCAGACTTTCACTTACTTTTGTTACACTCTGCTCCTTGTGTGCACCTACTGCAGTCTACACCTGTGAATCCCTGTTGGCAGACACATTTGCCCTTCTCACATTCCCCATTGCCACTACAGTCATGTGGACAGTTTGCAGAACAGGGACCTGGGCAGCAACAAAAAGAAGTATTATGACGAAATCTGACCTATAATGAGACATATCATATATAATAAGAAGAAAATTATACATTTATCTTTCAGAGACGACATCTCTCTTTCTAGTCGGGCCACTCGTCCTTTCAGCGCCGCCATCTCGGCCTCGCATCCCCCAGTGCAGCCACCAGGCACCAAGCTGATCTTATGCGTCATCACCAGAGGAGCGCCAGGCTTCAGCTTCAGCTCCTGCTCCTTGGCGTTGCTTGAGTCACATCCGTCACTGATGACCACCTTGACTGACTGTGATGGGGCGGGTTTCTCTTTGCTGGTGGTGCTGGGAGCCTTGATTAAAGTGGTCTGATTGACAGAGGCTGCGACCTTCTCTTTATCTGCAACCGTAGCAGCCTTTGCTGGCGTTAGCAGAACAGTTTGAACTTTTGTAGGGGCAGACCTGTCTTTGGACTTCACATCAGTCGTGGGGGGAGATTTAGCAACAACAGTTTGATTGGCGGAGGCTGTGGGCTTGTTTTTGGTGGTTTTAGTGCCACTGGCAGGAGCAGGCTTAATGGATGTTGACTGAACATTTTGAACTACCGTGGGGGCAGGCTTGTCTTTGGCAGTCTTCCCATCACTGGTTGAAGGGGATTTTATTGAAACCGTCTGATTGACAGAAGGTTGGAGTTTGTCTTTAGTGGTTTTAGCACCACTGACTGAAGCAGACTTCGCGGCTGCTGACTGAGCAGCTCCAGTAGGGGCAGGTTTGTCTTTGCTCGCCTTTACTTCACTAGCTGAGGACGACTTAGCTACAACAGTCTGGTTGACTGAGACTACGTGCTTGTCTTTGTTGGTGAAGGTGCCACTAGAGGCCTTTGCCACAGCGCCGACAGTCGGAGGTTTTTGATTGGTGCCTGGAGTGGATAAAACTGTCTGATTGGCCGTGTTTGGCTTTAGGGTGGAGTGAACAGTCTGTTTGGCAGGGGCTGCAGTGGTTTTTGGTTTTGAAAGGGTGAAAACGGCATTGGGTTTGGTCGCGTCGCTTCCTGTGGCGTCTCTCTTCTCATTGGTCGTGGTTTGAAAGGAGGGAAGTGGGGTGAGAAGGAGGAGAAGTCCTAGAGTAAACAGCATTTTGAGCCAGCAGCTGTGGCCAGAGATGGTGTTGCGTTGGGAGGATGTGTATGCACGTTACTGTAAAATTATGAACTCCTTGCTCTATACTTCTGGGACCAGTTGCAAGGGGGGACTGTGCCAGATCTGTCCTAGAAATGAAAGAAATGAAAGATCTGAATTATGACCGAGTTTAATGCAGGGAATGTTATGGCAAATCATTTTAGAACTTTCTTGTGTGATCAAATAGGGCCCTACATGCTGTTTTTTAACACTGGCCAGCTTCATTTTCACAGAGCTGCCATTCACAGTTGATACTTTTAAGTTTTGTGCCATGCTCTAGGAAAGGGCCTTAGCCAGCTTTGGCCAAGGCAGCACTTTTCCCCACTTTCCCAATATCTGCCTGAACTCATTTTGATAATCTTTCAGCCATAAGCACTTATCTTTTAAGATACTCTCTGTGTGTTATGTGCTGTGATCTGACATCTAAGGTATGCTGAGACAAACCATTCCTAGTGGGCAAAATTAAAGGAGCAAGTAAAACATTTCATCACACTACACATACCTCTTTCTTTCATATGTCACAGTTTTTAATCCACTTGGCTCATTGTATGTTGTGCATGATAACCAGAAAGACTGCACCTCTTGCAAGAAATAACTTCACCTAACATCCCATAACTGAACAAAACGTTAATAAAAAATGCTAATTAGTGTGCTTAAGTGTAAACTGAACAAATACAAGCTCAGAAATGCGGCAGTGTTCCAATCAGCCATAATTCAACAGCTTGCCAAACCAAGTAAAATCTAAATTAGTGGATTTTCTGAACAGGAAGGAAGGTGACCTGAGCGGGAAAATCCAGAGAGTGTGTTAGTGAGAGTATGCAAAGAGGTAACAGAGCTTCACTGTACAGAACTGTGGCACAGTGTATGTCTTTCACTATACAGATGGTTACATAATCCCCCTGCACCCACAACTCATAAAACCACAAACAGAAATATGCCCAGCCTCTCGGATTTAAGTCTGCAGAAAGTCAAGTAACTCATACAGCAGATAAACATTATATAACGCTTTGGTGCACAGCTAGCCAAATTTTAGATGCTACATTGGAGTGCATGGATTAACTGACTAATGGGCTGCACTGTTGGCTGGAATTTACAAAATTAAAAAAAAAAAAACTCTTTACTTCTGAAATAGGAATTGCAGTGCAATCACAGCATTATTATTGATTGAGTCAAAAATCTTAAAAACTCATAAATTAAGGGAAATTGTAGAACACTACATTTATAAACTTAAAAAAAAAAAAAAAAAAACTTTAAAGGATAGCATTAAACTACTTTTCCACTCATTCAAAACTGAGAAAATGTTATGATCTGCACAGCAATAAGAAGAATAACTGCGAATATCACCCCATTATTATAATTAGATGAAAGAAAAAAAAAAAAGAATATAACTTACCAGAATATTGATTCAGTTCTTTATCTCTGCCTTTGCGTTTCTGCCTCCATCTGATTGGAAAAACTCAATATAGACTTGCTGGATTTGATCTGGGAGGAAAGAGGTGAGAGAAAGGACCACCACTAGAAAGGAGGAGAGTGATAAAGTCTGCTCCTACTTAAGGACACCCCCTCCTTCCCCACATACACCTCACCCCACCCTGCGCCCCTTCTACCACACCTAGTGGTCCCACTACTTCAACCACCACGGAAAATATTTGTATTGGACGTACAAAAGGAGTGTCGTTTTTGCACAGATTTGTGCATCAAATAGGAGCCAGATTAAGGATTCTGTGACATGAAGAAACATACATTGTGCAGGTAGATCTAAGTGACTCTGTTTTTTTTGTCTAAAAGCTAAATGATAAATCTATCTTAGATTTTGAATGTAATAGCATCATATAGACTAATAAATTCCATTTTTCCCCCCTCACCTCATTCTTATTTCCATATACTATAAAAAATAAAAGTACCCTGCATGTCTCAGCTTCGCAAAGCTCGTGATAGTTATTTTATTGTCAACTGCTGTGTAACCGGCCTTGTGCCAGACATTGCTGCCATCGACACACAGTCTTTGTTTGAATTAAGGGCCCGGTCTGAGAATCATGATTCAGCTGGAATACACGGCACAACACTGTAGGTATTCAAGCGCTGACTCTGGGGGACGGGAACCTCTCGCCATATGAATCGGCTGTTTGTCGGCGGTAATGAGATGTAACTACGTGGGAGTTATGTAAGTGACCAAATATCCACCAGATTTAAGGAATGCTCTGTGAAGGCGCTGCACGGCTGACCAAACGGCCACCCACCATCCCACCTTTTGTAAACCACATGAAGACAAGTATATCAAGGGGGTTGAGAGCAAACAGGGCAACGCAAGTGACATTCTCCCGCTTTCACACGAGAGCAAAAAAAAAACAAAAAAACAACAATTTGTATCATTGCAGCTTTTTATATCGAAAGACGCTGCACGATACACTGATCGCGTTGTTTCGTGAACGCTGTCAGCAAACAAAACCACATTGCATGCTGAAGAAAACTGCTTTCTCACATTCCATTTACTGTCGCATCTGTTCCGTCTATATGTGTTGCAGTGCCGGTAAGCAGGAGCCGCACAGTAAAACATTTATTTACCAATAGATATTTTAGTTGCAAACATGTTGAGGTAGAAGTTTTTCTTGGCAGGTACATCATGTTCTGATACTGAAGTACAAGTGACCTCTGTTGCAGCATTGCAATGTAGCAGACAGTATTTTTAAAGAAATGATAATAGTGTGTGTATGCTGCTTATTGAAGGCATTTGGGTGTTAGAGCATGAGGCTGCACAGCGATTAGGCAGCTTGGTGCTTGAAGGGGGTCGAAACATTGTCTCTCGTAGATTTTAGTTGTGAAGAAACGTGACAAAATGATGCCCACATAATGGCAGCTACTTACAACAAAGAGCATCCAGCTTTAATGTCTGATGCAGGGCGCTTCGGGTTAATGTCTGCTGTTTTACATCCATCCATCCATTATCTATACACCGCTTAATCCTCACTAGGGTGGCGGGGAGGCTGGAGTCTATCCCAGCCGACTCAGGGCGAAGGCAGGGGACACCCTGGACAGGTCGCCAGTCTATCACAGGGGCTGTTTTACAAGGAGTATTTAAATATGAGTGACCTGACTTGACTAATAAGTAAATCAGATGCAAGCAGCGTAATTAAAAAAAGACATGACAACAAGAGTAGATAGATAGATAGATAGATAGATAGATAGATAGATAGATAGATAGATAGATAGATAGATAGATAGATAGATAGATAGACAGAAGCAACCAGCCAAACACAGACTATACACACAGAATATACAGAAACAAGTAGGCAGAAAAAAACAGAAATAGCTGTGCAGAAATAAGGTGCAAATCAGTACTATGGTAATGTGCAAATAAATAGTAGACTGAAGTACAGTGACACAGTGTGAGCAAACCTATTCCACATGTGCACAAGCATGTATTGTGAACCTAGACTGCAAATATCCCACAAATACACACAGCTGTACCACTGCCTGGCTTGCATGGTGTGTGGAAAATGAGCGCCCTCATATGCCAACACATGCACATCCCTTTATAATGACACATGCATCTGTTCATACACTACATGCATGCACAGGAAGGGACCTCCTCCAGCGTCTAGTAATCTCAGTACGCCATTATCGCCCTGTTTAACCCTCTGATCACCAAGCAGTTCTTGGTGTTGTTGCTCCTAGCTGCGGTCACATTATTGTTTTTTTTTGTTCTAACAACCAAAATTGAAGAATCCTTGAGTCAACATGTACAACATTTTTTTCCAAGTGCCAACACATTAAAATACTGTTTTAAAAAAGGGGAACTCTACATATGATACCTACTTCAATTTCATTTTGTTTCCATACTTGCTCTGTGTAAACACAACAGCAGTGCAGTCCAAAAAAAAAAAAAAGTCCTTGAATTTTGTCTCATTACTTTTGGTTGCAGCTAACTCTCTCCTGACCTTATGCTGGGTCAATCTGTTTTGCAGAATCTAGTTAGAGCACATGTTTATTTTTATTTTTTTTTAAATGAGAGATTCTGAATAAAGCGGTTTTGATGAAACACGATGATTGTAATTTAAGTTTGCTTAATTTTCCTGATGGAACAGCACATCATAGATTTCATAGATCGAAAAAAAACGACTAATTTTTAAACTTGCAAGTGGGTTTTGGGGTTCAAAGGGTTAATGGTGCTCCCTTATCACCTCATTTAATGCCCACATGTATGGAAATGATGTGCGCTGACAGTGGGCCATTTATTGTGCTGATGAAGCCCGAATTGGGAGGTTTATAACTTTATTTTGTTAGCAGATATGTGAAAGAATTCCAGGATTCAGGCAAGAAAATGTACCATGTGTTGTACTGAAATTCATTAACATCAGCTGATCGGGTCGCTGGTGTAAAACAGATCATATTCAAGGCAGAGTTTTGGATTTCTCATTGTAAGAAATACACAGGTAGCGCCAGTCAGCATTCACATACAGGACAGTGAAGCTGATACAGCTAAATGGAACTCAACCAGCACTGATTTTTTTTATTATTCATACTTTTGTGAAAGTATCTTGTGTGAAAAGTGGCTGTACTGATAACACACCGAGTCACCTTAATGTTCAGGTGACGAACAAAAAGTAATTATGGTGTGTGGATTCCAGAGTGGGTGGTCCCACTCCGTCTGGCGGCTGCCTTCAGGAACTACTCCGCCTTCGCTCCTTTCTGCACCGTGGACCACCCTCTAAACCGCTGACCCTGTCTTGGCCTTTCGGAAAGATGGCCGGACACCCACCACCTTCGACGGCTAAAGGCTAACGCACACCTAAGAAAATACACCTGATCATACGAGCACATTTCCCCTGGCGATGCCGCTCAAGCACATTTGGTCTGTCAGAACAGGTCAACACGTACTCAAGGAATATGTGTATTTACAGTCAATCCCTTAAGGCAATGCATAGATCAACCAAAAATAAATGTATCGTTCAACCGCTGCGAATATTTGACTGAAATCCACAAACAGCCGGAGAAATTAACTCATCTGTAAACCAGTCAAATAAAACATAGAAAATATTGCTTCTGTCAAACTCACTTTTGCTCCTGTGATTGCTCTTGATTTAATCAGAAGTCTGCTAAGCCACGACAAGCCATTGATTACCTTTGAAGACTCTACAGTAAAAACACTTCAAATGTGCGGCTGGCTACTGACGGCACACCAAAGTAATGTCGAGATGAAAAGATGCTGAATCCCGCGTATTTATTTACCCTTTATTGATTCAAATTTAATGAAATGTCTAATGGTGGGGCTGAAACAGTGCGAGCATTGATCCAGCTGTGATTGAAGTGATGCTCAGTGCTCCCGTGTTGCTTACATTGGACCCGGCCTCAGAGATTAGAATAATATAAGCACATAAGCCTTTACTTGTTCCCGGCCTCTTCGCCCACACTTCCCCTTCTCCTCCTCCACCCCCTCGTTTTCTCCCCTACGTTTTTTGAATTATATAATCGCAACACAGCACCTTGAGAGGAGACTTGTTAACTCCTGCTTTCAGAAAACTTTTGAGGGGATGATTGATCCAAATCTTGTCACTGTGTAACGCCAACAGGAGCGAGTGAATCAGATTCATGTGCTCCAAACCACTCCCCCTTTTTCCTCAGCTTGCAGATGTTAAACAGGAATGCAAAGGGGGAACTTTGAGTGTTCAGTACAGAGACCCCTCTCAGGTCCTTTTCTGGCCGTAAAAGAAAAAAAAATAAAATTTAAAAAAAAATATATTCGACAGGAAGGCTAAATCAAATCTGACTGAATCACACCATTGGGGAAAGACATGAAGAAATACGGAAGAAAAGAAAGAAAATCAGCCCAGCAACTGAGATTCAAATTTTTGTTTTAAAAGGGACGTATTGGGTTAACTCCATAGTATATTACCAATATGTAATCTCCTACTGCTGTCCTTATAGGTCACTCAGGTCATCACAAAGTTTCTCCTCTCAGGTCTGGGTATCATTGGACAATCTGTAGTTCATTTGCAGGACAAACTAAGAAAAAAAACTAATAAAACAACTAAAAAAAACATCGGTCTTTTCTTTGTTTCCAAACCAAAAAAACCCTAAAAGATTTCGGTTCATAGCCCCTTTGATACATTCTAATGAAGTGTTAATCATTGATGTGTTTCTACCTCTTTGTTATATATTTGCAGTTTGCTTAATCTGACACTTCTTTTAGGTGGATGCAATGAAATGAGACCAACAAGACCACAGAGTATTTGCAGTGTTTATTTAAAATGTAAAGCAATGATTAAGACATCAGTGTGAAACATTACATCAGCAAACACATGCTACAGTGTTGATACACGTCGTGATAATATTTCATTACGCATCTCTGCCTGCTCAAATCCTCAAGATGGACATGCTGCTCACAGAATCATACTCGAATATAACCCAACATCTCACTAACTGCAATTAAACAAGATGGAAAATGGATGGAAGACATGGAAAATGGGCAAATGGCCCCTGCTGGAATCTGCTAACGTTAAATTAAGACACTTTACACAGAGATGTTTTGGGAGCAGCCAGAGCATTCCCAATCCCAAGTGTGAGTTACAGCTGAATGGTGTCATTTAGTCTCTGTTACAGCAGCAGCAGGGCTCAGAAATGTCAGACAAAGGAGCAGCCAGCATGTCTTAACCCTATTCAGGACTTCATGTTATCATATGTAGAAGGTCTTCGGGGGTCCACTGGACCCCAAGAAAGAATATGTGCAAAATAATTGTTGGTATTCATTATAGACAATGCTAAATACATTTTCTGATAAGTTCACATATTGTTGGCTCCAAATGCATGACACATGTCCCTCTTTTTATATTTAAAAATAAAATCTTTAAAAAAACAAAACACATACCTGCCACCTAAAATAAATGGCCTGGGGTCCAAAAGACCCCAAAAGTCCTGAATAGAGTGAAGAAGAAGCCATGTGAGGGTCAGACAAGTGAACCCAGACAGGTTCAGGGGGACAGTTCTGAGGACAGGCATCCAAAGCAGGACCAGTCCAGCAGCTGGAGCCCATCATCAGCACCAGAGCAGGACAGACAGACATTCCTCAGAGCAAATGAAGAGCAACATTGTTAATATAAAAGAGTGTGTATCATTTTAATCTACCTTGAGCCATTGCTTTTGAAAAATTCCATATACATTCCATATTTTACAAGTATGTTCTGACCAGAAACCTTTTCCAGATCGTGTTTATTTTGCTAGATCTATTTAATCAGGTTAGGTCTATGTTTGGTAATACAATGTGAGTACAAGTAAAGAACACTTCCCGAGAAATTGCTGTAGGCTACATCTACGAATAACGCGGTAATTGGGTGGCCCCCCAAAATACAGCACTGGTCCCCTATTGGCCCCCCCTAAAAATAAAACCTAGAATCTCCACTGTGCATAGGAAAAGATGAGAAGAATAAAAGATGGCTGCAGGAGGTAACCACTATATATCGGCTTGAAACACAACTCTGCAACATGTAAAACCTCAATGTCCTATAAGCTTTTTTTTTTTTAACAACTAGAAGCCAGAAACCAAACACTACAGTCATCGCTCGACTTCAAACTGACCTTTCTGACTTGCGTCTCTTGTAATCAAAAATCAAGGTATCTCGTTTCTTTACCACAAAGGTAAGGCCTTGGCAGCTTTCATCTGAGCTGCGAGAAGGTCGACGTCCGCCTGTTTCACTGGAAAACTTGCCAGCTGTTTAATCTTCTGCACAGTTTTGCAGTTGAAGGCAACCAGATCACTGAAGCCTTTGAGAAATGCATCACCAGCTGTGAGGAATTCTCTCATGTCTTCTCCAGTTGGGATGTTGTACTGAACTTTTCCATCCAACTCGTACTGCAGACTTGCTGCTGTCTTGAAGGCTCTAGTAACAGCCTAAAGAAGATATGAGCAATCAGATCAGGTGAGGATTGATAAGGACGCCGTTTCTGTACTTTCCAGTTACATTTGTTTAGTTCAATTAAACCATTTCTTGCAATTGGAAAACAATTATTTGTCCTCGTATTCAACTGCGAATATATTTATGCATTCATTTCATTTGTGTGGTGTGTAGAATTAATCTGTTGTCAGTGGATGGAGTCTAGCACTGGATTTTTACTTTTCTTATTTTACGATGAACCAGTCAGGATCAGGTTTTAATACTGGACATACCTCAGATACTGGTGTGATGTATTTTGCAATGGTCGCTTCCAATGGCACCTCAATCCCCTCCAGGGTAATGATTTCATCTTTGTGCTCCTTCATCCACTCCATGGTCTTATTCCCTAAGTCGGTTTGAGTCTTGATCACACTGGTGAGTGCCTTAATTGCATCACGTCTCTTCTTCACCTCTGGCTTTCGGTGGTTGAATAATTTGTCGAGACATACATTTACTGCCCACAAGATAACACCAATCGCTACGGTTTCCCCGATGAATTTTGCAACCTTCGGTATGTTTGTTCTGGCAAATTCAGAAAAGGCTCTCAAAGTCTCAGCGACTCTGGAAAACTCTACAACCTCACTGCGGGCTTGAGCCACTTCAAGTTCTATTTCTTCTCTGAGTTCTTCTGGCATTCCTTCAACTTCTTCTCCAGCAGCTTCAATAGACTCTTCAGCTCCTTCAATTATTTCCTCTATGGCTGCCATTTTTAGGAATGGTCGTGCTCTGTTATCCTGAGAAGACAAATATTTGAACAGATTCCAATTACAGCATCGGTGCACATGTAATTATGTATCAGGCAGTAAATGCAGATAAAGCAACCAACATAGAACACTTGATGAATGTAAAGTTCATAATTGTAACAAGACAAACGATAATACTCATTAAACATGAGCAGTGAAATAAGGACTTCTAGCCGCTGTGCTTTAGTGCCACCATCAGGCTGGACCTGGTAGTTTCACAACTAGTTGTGTCAAGTATTGTGTCAACTATGGCAAATTTGAACTAAACACTGTTTTATCCCAAACTACTTCTGGTTCTCAAATATTTTATTAAAGGTAAGAATTTATTATTAACATTTGTCTGCCTTGAATATTAAGATTACAGTTTTGTTACCCAGTGTTCCGAGTGTCGAGACCTTCAAGTTCTCACAAACTGACACTCCAGTTCAGACACTTGCCAAAAAATCCAAATATCAGACTAAAAAAGAGTGCAATGTGCGATCCAGTTCCCTCAGCTCCTTGTATAGCCCCAATATGTCCCCCAACTCATATTAGGGAGGCAGAACGTTCAGTTAAAATCATCACATTGTAAAACAACCAAGTATTCATGCAAATAAGCAAATATAAAATCAAACCAACCTGCTTCTATGTTAACTTCTTGAGGTTTTAAGTTTGTGGTTTTTTTTGTTAAATAAATGCAAATACATGTGTGTAACCAGCTATGAGGTCACCAGGCTGTGGTGAAATGCATTCTTTTGAACACTTGATTTCTGGTCTTTGGCTGGCAGTCCTGGAGAGTGGGGAGCCAACGCCTGCTATGTCCAGGTTTCCCCGAGGCTTGTCCGTAACACCAAACCAGATTTTTAACACTACCCTTTAGAGAAGGCTTTTGTAACTTTGTCGTGGCTTCACATTAATAACAGCAAGTATTATTCTATTCTATTCTAGTCTAGTCTAAACTCAAGCTGTTTCATTTATATACTCTACTGGATGTTATACACTTTCTCTCTGCCTTAGGCCTTGTCCACACATGCTACGAGTGGACAAGGCCTTAGTTTGTGCTGCGCTCTCTTATTGCCGGCACCAGAGGTCCAGTCTGACCTACTCATCCCAACAACCAACTCAGTGTAATGGACCTGCCTGGTTCTTTGTCTCAAAGTCTGAATATTCAGCACATATATTATCCTGCTAGTTCTGTCCGTTTACTGGTGGCATCACAACATCTGTACAACAAAATAAAAACACAACGTCTGCGTGGTGAAGCAGCAGTTCTCTCCCTCCATCACGGCTAAACCCAGACCCATGTGGCATTGAGAAAAGTGTGTCTACTACAAGTTCTAAAAGTGCATTCACAACCTTTATATTTGTACATAAAACACATGTGCGCGCTCACAACATCAAAGTATCCCTTGGAATTACATAATGCGACACCTAATGTTTAACAAAACCAACTTGTTCACATTGCAGTGGAGAAAAATAAAGCTTACCTCTTCTCAGTGTTGCTAGCGGAAACTGAGGAGAAGGGTGGATCCCAGGCTCTCGATGGCAGTGCAGATTTAAAGAGACAGTCTTTTCATGTATAATATCAATTCTTAACTGCAATTTTTAAAATAGCAAGGAAAGATGTTTTATATATAACTTTGTAGGGTCTTAACCTTAATATCTAAACTTATTAGGTATAACATTAGCCCTGTTTAAAATGTGCCATCCAAAAAAAAAAAAAACTTTACTATGCAGAGAAAATGTATATGTTTGGGTGGACTTCCATCCATCCATCCATCCATCCATTATCTATACACCACGTAATCCTCACTAGGGTTGCAGGGGGGCTGGAGTCTATCCCAGCCGACTTAGGGCGAAGGAAGGGGACACCCTGGACAGGTCGCCAGTCTATCACACTTAGAGACAGACAACCAAGCACACTCACATTCACAACTACGGACAATTTAGAATCACCAATTAACCTCAACATGTTTTTGGACTGTGTGGGAGGAAGCTGGAGAACCCGGAGAGAACCCACGGTGCACGGGGAGAACATGCAAACTCCACGCAGAAAGATTCCGGTGCAACGCAATCGCGAACCGGCGACCTTCTTGCTGCGAGGCAACAGTGCTACCAACTGCACCACCTTGCAGCCCCGTGGGTGGACTTGTTGTTTCTTATCTCAACGTGTATACTACTATATAACAATATGTTTGCTGTACAACATTAAAGTGGCTTATTTTAACTGAAACAATACACTGGACGGAAAGAAAGTTTAAATTGGAAGACTTGATATCACAAAACGGTGAAGTCGGGCTGAATCAATTCAATTCAACGTGTTTTATTGTCGAGAATATCAGGGTAGCAATAGCTTCAAAACATCAAGAATGGTGTTGTTAAGAAAAAGGGAGGGGTGAGAAAACTTAAATGAAAATAATACAGTTCCAGTAATCAAATTGAATAATAAAATGAATAAGAGGATAACAAGAAGAAGAATTAGCTACACACGTATTGTCTGATTTAGGTCTAGATAATGATGGATCAATGGTCACACACGACTGCTTTTAAAGTCTAATTGCAACAGTAAATGTACACTATGACACAGAAGTAAAATATCACAAACTGCAAAAAAAAATTAAAAATACAAAAGCTTTCTTTCTCCTGAATTAATCAGATTTGTTTCACTGTCTGCAGCCATCCATCTTGTACTCGGATACAAATGCATTAAAATCCCTACAAGCAGGTCTATTGGCAACTTTCTTACAATCTTCTTCTAGTGACGGCTGTTTCTCAATCCAGGTGTTTGATTCCAACAGATACTGCATCCTACAAAAAGAAAGAAAGGAGTGACCGCAGTGAGACTCAATCCCAGTGAAATTCAGTCAAATCACTGATTATACTCACGAGCCAGTCGAGTCATTTGTGGTTCCATCTTTGCCCATGATGAGGTACCTCTTCCCCACTTCTAAATGTCCTTTGCAATGGAACCTCTTGGCAAACACCCGAACAGAATCCTCACTCACTTGCACGTCTCCATCTAGTAGATAGATGATGGTCATTACATTCATTGAAAGCCTAAACACAAGCACTGAAGAATAGAAGAGCATAACACTTTTAAGTAGCAATTCTTTCAGTGCATTCACATCAGAGAAGATTTCCAAACATGTCGATATCAAAGCAGTTATCTAGTAGAAAAAAAAATACATAGGCAAGTGTATCAATGAAAACATCCATCCATCATCTATACACCAGCTTAATCCTCATCAGGGTCGCCAGGGGGCCACACTGTTGCAGGGCTACACTTAGAGACAGACAACCAAGCACGCTCACATTCACACCTACGGACAATTTAGAATCGCCAATTAACCTCAACATGTTTTTGGAACTGTGGGAGAACCCGGACAGAACCCACGCTACATGCAAACTCCACGCAGAAAGATCCCCGGCGTCCTAACCAGGATGCAAACCAGGGATCTTCTAGCTGTGAGGCGACTTTGCCCTCAATAAAAACATGGGACAGCTTATTCTTTTCAAAAGCTCTAAACGCAGTATCGTAACTGATGTTGCACATTGCTGCAAAAAAGTATGGCTTAAAGTAATGACATTGAAGGTGCAGTTGTATGTTAGCATGCATGGTTTCAGTACATGATTACAGGGTGCATAAGGTGGTACATGCAAAGGTGTTGGTTTTTTCAGATTTTGTTTATTTGACAGTGAGTAAATTACCAGTGAGGGGATTAAATCAACTTGAGTTAAGTTGCTCGTAGGTGCTCAGGTCCAGACAGTTAGTGTTTAGCCAGAGTTCAGTTCTGTCATGGCTCTGGGGCAGAAGCTGTTTTTCAGACTGTTAGTCTGCGATTTGATGAAGCGTCTACCGTTTTGGTCATAGCATCTGCTATGCTTGCTGTTAGTTTCCTTACTTGATCTGAGGACATCAACTACTTTAGTTTTGTACAGCTCAAAGTTACTCTTCCCAGAAACACTGGTGACTTCCACTATGTACGCTGGAACACAAGAAAAATCAAGAAAATCCATTTGAACCTTTCGACTGCATCATCGTGTTGCAATGTCAATATACGAAAGATGGGATTTGAGATGTTCATAGAAGAGTCAGGATCACATGTTTTCCAAAACATGCCTTGTGTACAGTACTGACCGTAGTCTACCGTAGGGAAGAAGCAAGCATGTTGTGTTCGGTCATTCTTTGTGATCCTTGCATTGTTTGGCGATTTGAATGTTTTCTGTAGTTTATAACAGGGTCCTAAAGAAAAGATCAACATATGCACCTTTAACTATTTGCACAAACCTGAAAGGTAAACATTTGCCAGTACAGGTTCATGTTACATGAATTCAGTTTGTAAAAACACCTTTTTTTTTGTTTCAAACATGAAGCTTTCCAAAATTATTACACATGTGGAGTGGTGTGGTCTGTGTGCACCTGTTTCAAGTCAAATCAGCTTCAAAAATCAGTTGATGGTATATTGACTTGTAATAGGGAAAATAGCAGATTAGATTCTTAGCTAAGTCAGCTCACAGAGGTTAGCCATGATTTAGACATCTCATGGCTGTATCAACACTAATATTAAAATTAGCTTCTACTATTTTTGATGAACTGTGTTGAACTGACTGGTGTGAGTGGGAATTTTATTTTTCTGTCAGTGCTGCTTGTGGCTGTGGTTCAATACTTTAAATGCAGGAGAATGAAAGGTAGAAAGAAATCCACTGAGGCACACAAGCGTGCCTGTTGCTGTGGACAGTGAAAATGCTGGATTTATTTGAAAAGATGATTTTGTTTGTTGCATAAACATCTGATAGGGTTCTAGTAACCTTCAACGGTTAAACCTAGAGTCTGGCAGAATGCAATGCACTAGACTCTTGTAATTACAACCTGTGGCCATAGAGGGCGCTGTTGTCACAACAAAGTGATGCTTTAAGAAGACAGCTTTCAGGCCAGTGTTACACTTGCCGCATCCACAAGTTTGCAAAGGTCCACTACAGTCCCCATGACTTCGATTTCGCAACTTCACCAAGTCCGTAAGACCACGTACAGACTCCTCTGCAACCCAAAGCTTGTGCTCATGGGGCAACAACTCAACAAGGGCAATTAATGGACACGCTCAGCAGCAGTGTATATGTTGGAATATGTAGATGCACCCTGCTGCACATGTCTGGAACAGAGTCCTCCAAGAGAACTTTCATTGACAGGATATGTAGCATAACAGCAGTGCTATGCGTCTGTCTTTCAGCGCGTCCACAAGGCAGTGCAGTCAAGGCTTCAGGTTTTATACCATCAATGAGTTTTGTCATGCAAGAGCCCACACTGACCCTCTCGAGATGATTTACTGTGCAAGAATCGTCCAAGCCGACTCCCCTGACCAACAAAAGCAGTATAATAGCAACAACTATTGCTGTTCGAGTGTCATCAAGGCTTAAGTCTCTAACTCAGCCAGTTGGCTGAAAGCAGAAACTGAAAAAAAAATGCAACATGGACCCATATTGCTAATTCTGCTGCATCAAAAAACTGAAGCTATAGGTGACCACAGAGATCAGAGGGAGACTCGACAGACATGTACTGCAGAGTAACTGGGGTTGTGGCAATTTTTGAACATCAAAGCCCAGCTGTGCTCCTGCATTTGTGGTGACTTTTTCAGACAGTATCCCAACCATAAAATAATGATCTAGTTTAACAGACCGTCTGTCTGTTTAGCAGTGATTTTGCATTTTTTGCCAACAAAAAGGATGGCAAAAAAAAAAGATGAGATTTAGCAGTTTGTATATTGTTTCATCACATGCAGAGGTCATCATAATAACTAAAAAATGACTTGGTTTAACGTTAGATGACTTCATGTAGACACAGTCTTAGCGTAATGGCTTACTCTCTGCGCATTGGCACACATCCTCTGAACACAGTGTGGAGATCATCTTGCTTCTTCGTGGGGCAGAGTAGAACACAGTACACTTTCTGCCTGCAAGAGAAGAAGAGAACCACAGGTCGTCACTAAACTCTTATTAAACTAAACAGAGATTCCCTTCTATCCTGGTGAAAAACTGTAGGTAGTGTAAAAAGCTTACTTGGTTCATAATAATCGTAGAACACGGCTGGAGCAGGCTGGAGGAGGCCGACTGGCACTGTTTGGACAGCATCAAACTTGATGCATTCATTCTGTTCATAGATCTAGAGAAGAAGAAAAAAATCTCTGAGTATTGTGCAATTTTTATGTACAACTTTACTTCATTGAACTTACCTGATTAAAGTAGAGCAGCACTCTTCCGTAGGAGACTTCATAATGGGAAATGTACTGTTCTAGCTTTTTTAGCTGAGGGGAGACAAGAATTGAACTTTTTATTGCAGAAGTAAGGATAGTTCAGAAGGTCCTTCCTGTGATTTTGCTAACATAGGTGTGACGTAAAGGAACAGAATTGAAACACGGGACAGGCAGATGTTTCTGGAAATGTTTTTCTCCAATATAGGTTCCAGTTTGAAATGTTTTTGATATCCTCAGTGTCCTGAACATAAGCCAAAGCCTGTTTCAGCATCAAACTTTCCTCTGAAATTTCACTTCTGTTGTAAACTGAAATGTCCATAGAAGCAAAACTTTACTGCACTGAAGGCAGAGTCTGTAACAGGTCAGATTTTCGGGACTCACAAATATATGTAATCTTGTTTTTGATAAAAACATTAAGAGGAGCTCCAGCTGTTTGTAAGAGCCTTCTGAGTTTGTTAAATGCCTGTTGTTAATCTTACGCACTAATGACTTAACCGGGAGAGCTTTATGTCTGTCCAAACAAAGACAAAGTGAGGAAAACTACTAACCTCGTCCAGGTCTATAGTACTAGCAGTAAATCCACTGAGCAATGTGATGTCAGCGATCGCCATTCCTGTGAGATTGCCTTTTGGTCTGTGGTCACAAAAACAATGGAAAATACAGGTTGATCGGGGAGTTGTGACCTTTATTTTCTCATTCAGAGCAAATGCAAGGTGAATCTCACTCAACGAACCTGACGCAGACTCTGTAGGTAACAACGCTGTCTGATTTTAGGTTGTTATCAAGATCTCTCGTGATTCGGGTGCGAGCGTCAAACCACTCAATCGCCGATCGTGGCACTCGTGGCCGTTCCTCGTCGGCGGTGTCGTCATAGTAGTCATAATTTTCTATGATCTTATCTAGAAAGGCAGAGCTTAATGTAACTGTGTGGCTTTTATCAGTGGTTGTGATTTGTTATCACTTAAAAAAGACTCACCAGTGTACTTCACTTTCCCCTCCACTGTGACACTGATAGACATTTCTGCACAGTCGTCCTTGGGTTCCAGTAAATGGTAAGCCTTCACAATCTGCCAAGGAGATTGGGGATTTACTATAAATTACAAATCTCGTTTATAATATACACAGCACAGAAGTGAATGAAACTTGCTTTCAGCTTGACGTCTCCTTTTCCGGTGAGCTCCACGTGAATGTTATTGCCGGCAAGTTTCTGGGACAAAACAGAGAAGGGTTTCAAAAATGACATCAAATATTGATATGTGTGTATTTAAGTCCATGGATGGGACTGTCCTGTGATACCTTCAGGTCTGTTTCCACCTTCTCTTTGTCATTTTCCAGTGCAAGTCTTATAATGTTTTGCCTTCCCGGCACTGTGAACTCTGCTGCTACTTTTGCTTCAGGTCTGACAGGCCTCTTTAGCTCATACTCTGAGAGGGCTTCCAGTGCCATGATGGTATCCTGGGGTGGGGCAACAAACCATCAACACCACATTGAGGCTAAATAGGTAGTGCAAGATCAACCAACAACCAAAGGCTGAGGGGGTTCGGGTTTAGGAAATCTAGCATCACCTGTGATGATTTGAAGCCTTTGAAATAGTTTTCTTGGGTGGTCAACCAGCAGGCTGCTGAATCTGCCCATGTGGTATTCTTAAGTTGCACTGCAGCTAGGAGGGCATAGGATGTCGTCTCTACTGTGATCGCATCGGCCTTCTTTTGATTACTAGGGCTGGGATTCTCTGTCCACAGATAGCAGTCATTCTCCGCTGATAATTAAAAACAACAATAAGCACACAACATTTTGACCACAGTGGTGGAGAATGGTGGAGGTGACTGTTGTGGAACCTGATAATGTATAGAGATGTATACCAGCATAGTCATCACTTTAAAATGCTGTAAATCAATGAGCAGGACTGACTCAAGGCAACATTGGATATGGATAGGACGTGCCTTTAGTAGCCTTTGCTTGAAGTTTTGTCCATGCATGTGAGAGATCAGTTCCCTCTGGCAGGCAAACTGAGAGGCAATACGTTGTAATGGCAATGGCGTAGGTATGCTTAAGCTCCCCCAGATGTGACTGGAGATACGTGGCCGCTCTTGATATACTTGCTTCCTGGAAGAGAGATGCAGAAAAACAAAAATATGGCACTAATCTCAAAATGCATGCAGGTAAACAACACATACACATGGACATGACATTGTCCCACAAGTAATAATGCAATGTTGCGATGTTATGGGATGAGATGTCTAAATCGCGGCTAACCTCTGTTGTGTCTAAAGTGCTATTTTCCCTATTACAAGTTAATGCACCATCAACTGATTTTTGAAGCTGCTTTGTGGTAAAGGTGAGGATGATTTTAACTGGCCCGTTGCATGGGGGTCTTATAATTAAATCGCTTACAACGGTTTTAGGATTAACTAAGCGTCATACAGAAACACCTAATGCTTCTTGCAATTACGCCAACGGTGTATAAAATTGTAATAAAAATAAAACTGCAACAATAACAAATCCAGCAGCTCTGTCAGACTGTTCTAATGCTAATGCTAACATGCCAACATGATGAGGTTAAGCACCTTAAAAGTTTACTGTTCATCGTATTGTAGTGTCAGTATGCTAATTAGCACAAAGTACAGCAGAGACTGATGGGAACGTCATTAGTTTCGCAGGTATTTCATCATTAACCAAACTTTAAAATACTTGGAATTCAACATAAATGTCAAAACACAATTGCATGGCAGATGACTAAGTAGTTGTTGAACATTGCCACACGAGGTTTACAGGTAAAAACAGTGAAACAGGACATTAGGTTTCTTACCACATTGCTTCGAGGTTCAGTTTGCAGAAATTCAAGGGACCGGTACAGTGCAATAGTTATGAAAGCAGTCATGGATGAGTGTTGGTCTTGGCCTTTCTACATTAAACACACAGACAATATTGCATTAAAATCACTGCTATTGGGGATTTATGTCACATTTAATACTGTCATCACATATGTGCTCTGATACCATGTTTCAACTTTTAAGAGACGTTACCAGAACTCCTCTGTGTAATACAGGTTGAGGGTCAGTGAATGATCCATCAGGATTCTGCTCGAAGAGCAAGTATTCGACTGAACGCCAGATTTCTTCCTCTGGTACAACTTTAAGCCTCTGACCCTGTTGTCCAAGAGCTGCTGTCTGACGCTGCGCCACCATTGATAGCACTTTTACTACAAGGGCAGTCACCCTGAGTCCAAGAGAAAGAAAATAAGTGAGGTAAGTGGAAGGAAAAGGTTGAAGAAACTGGATTTTTGTTGTGAAATATTGGATGTAAAAACACAAAAAAGATAAATATGGTAATGTTAAACAAATACTTACCAATTACTGGATCTCACTGAACTCCATACACCATAGGAGCCATCATGTTTGCGATATTGTAAAATCCATATGTAACCTGACAAAAAACATTGTTTGCTATGTTTAAACAAAAAAGTGTATAGCCCTGTAGTCTGTAGAATTTCTGAGGTCACTCTATAGGAGACATATTTAGACACTCTACACATGCACACACACGAAACAGTAAATGCAGTGAATAGGGAGTGAATTCAAACAGAGCCCTTTATTCCGCAGTCGTGCATTTTGGTTCTTGGGTAGATTTAGGTGTTTTGGAAATATGACAAAATCCATCCATCCAGCCATTATCTATACACCGCTTAATCCTCATGAGGGTCGCGGGGGGGCTGGAGCCTATCCCATCCTATCTCTGCAGGAGAAAAGGTGAGGCCTTTGACCCCAAGAACACCAGACCTATTGTCAAGCACGGTGGTGGTAGCGTTATGCTCTGGGGCCGTTTTGCTGCCAGTGGAATTGAAGTGAATGGAATATTTAAGAAGAAGGAGAATAACCTTCACATTCTTCAGGGAAACCTAAACTCATCAGCTAGAAAGATGGGTCTAGTATTGAGATGAGTGTTCCAACAAGACAATGACTCCAAACACACACCAAAAACAGTAAACAAATGGCTAAATTAAGCCAAAATTATTGGTTTACACTGGTCTACCCAAGGGCTGGATCGGTGGTTAGCACCGCTGCCTCGCAGCTAGAGGACACCCGGGATCTTTCTGCGTGGAGTTTGCATGTTCTCCCCGTGCAGCGTGGGTTCTCTCCAGGTTCTCCGGCTTCCTCCCACACAGTCCAAAAACATGTTGAGGTTAATTGGTGATTCTAAATTGTCCGTAGGTGTGAATGTGAGTGTGCTTGGTTGTCTGGGATAGGCTCCAGCCCCCCGCGACCCTAGTGAGGATTAAGCGGTGTATAGATAATGGATGGATGGATGGATGGATGGATGGATGGATGGATGGTCTATCCAAAGTCCTGACTTAAACTCCGTCAAGAACATGTGGACTGTGATGAAGAAGCAAGTCTGTGTCAGAAAGCCAACAAATGCAGTTTAACCAATTCTGTCAAGAGAAGGGTCAAACATACAACCAGAGGTTTGTGGACAGCTACCAAAGTGCCCAGCTGAGGTAAAAATGGCCAAAGGATGTTTAACCAGACATTAGCATTGCTGTATGTATGTTTTTTTTAACAAAGCAGATTTGGTCATATTTCCAGAAGACCTTGAACAAATCAGTGAAAGAATCAAAATGATTGTTTTTTTTAGTGAAATATGTTTCAATGCCAGCAATTCAGAGTTTTACGAGTCACTGGAAACCCAAGACTGTCATGATACATATATTTGTTCCAACTATATAGAAACTTTCAGTCATTTAATGAGATACTCTGTTTTCAGGATGTTTTATTCATGTGCACTCACAGATGCACAAATGTTTTCATCTCGCACATACAAGATAATTAACAAAGATCTGTAATGTAAAGTTTTTTGTTAGCTAATGTTTTTAGCGTATAAGTGGAAATATTTGGTGGTGCTAGTGGAACAGGGTCAAGAGGTCACCCAAAGCATAAAAAAATAACAACTATAAACATAGTAATTAAATAATGAAGATGCAAATAACTGTGTGATGTGTTCCTACCTTCCTCAACGTTATTAAGAGCCTTATCTCTCTCACCGGGAGGCAGTTCAAACCATTGGTCGCTCAGGTCGAGGTAGCGGAGGGCTAAAGTTGTCGGGGCCAGACGTGTCATTGTCTGTTCTAAGCATCCGCGAGGCAAGGTGATCAGCTCAGAAACCTTCTCAGGAGAAAGAAGGTTCCTCGCATGTGATTTGCCAAATCCATCTCCTGTCAGGCAAGAACACTGACGATGTAAGACATTTTCAAAGGAATACAAGTTGTGTTTCTGTGTCTAACAGCACCTCCTACCTTCCACTGAAACAAATATATTTGAGCTGGACTCTGGGACGGTGTCATCTGGTAGACTTCCATCAATAGTTATTGTCTGTGGGCGCCTCCCTATGACAGAGGAAGTATTGAAGAATAAAAACAATTCCAACTGTTAAACAAGTAGTATTTTATTAGCATTGAGAAATACGAAAACCGCTCACCATCTAGTTTGATCAGTCTGGTTTCTCCGACTCTCTGTTCCATTCCTTCTGTCTACAACATGAGATAACAGAGTTACTGTGTGTTCTTTGGCTTTGTTGCATCTGTTTTGCAGAAGCCTTTTGTCACTCACCAATACATTGAGATTTTTTTCAATTGCATCTATCCCCCAGTCATCATCCATATCATACAGACGTATTTTGATGGGAATCGAGCCGGTTACCATGGGGACGGCAGAGAAGGTGACAAACTGAGAGGACTGTGGCGCCACTGTGATGTTAACAAAAGAGATCAAGGTGGCCGAACCGGGGGAGCAAAGCCCTTCAGTTTGTGCCATATGCACTGCCAACTACAACACATGCAGAAAAACAACATAAGGAATTCAGTTTTTTAGTACAGTGGGTCCTTGTTATTTTCAGTGCCACTTAAGTTTTATCTACCTGCACTTCCTTGTCACCGTAGTTGTAGATAACAGGAGAAATGGCCAGTTGCTCGTATCTTCTCACTGAGTAAGGCAGTCTCAAGGAGACAAACGTCGGCTTAAATGCTCTTTCCTCGTATGGCTTAACGACGCAGAAACCTGAATGCAACACAGAGTGACATGCAGTTATCAATAAGAAACTCTCAAGTCAAAATATCTGAGATGCATTTGCAAAGCGGGCAGGAAATGTTACCAGTAGCTTCAGATAAAGTGATGACCTGAAACTCCCACGTGGTGATGGAATCAGGTAGCGTTAAAGAATGCCTAAGAGAAAGTTTGTGAAATTAATCTGACAAATACTTTTTGTTTTTATATTTATAGTTGACACTGGAGAAGTATGGTTAATTTACACAGAACAGTGAAAGAATCTGTAATATTAGAAGCATTAACATAACTTCATAACGTCAAATGTTTTAATGGCTCTAACTTGCCACCGTATTTTAGTGGAAAAGAAAAAACAAATAAATATAAAGTTCGCTGTCCACATCTTACCTTCTTTTGCCTTTTACGTCAAATTCTGTGAATGCAAAGCTTTCGGGGAAATATCGTCGAATATACTGAGTATTATCCAAGAAGAACTGTTCCATTTCTTCAGAGCTTAGAGCTAAACATTAAAACAAATGTGTTAACTTTCAAAGCCACATATGCTGTTCAGGTAAATGTGTAAAGTGTCCGCGTGACGGTTTTATCTCACTCCTTCCAAGTCCTGTCTGGGAATCTTCTAGCATCTTTTTTTGTCTCAGACGCGCCGCATCAACGCAACATTTCAGAAATACGTCAGCACAAGTCTGATTTGAATTCACCAGGAGAATCCTATCCCTCCTCTCCTGACATGTTCGTCTCATAGGGATGAGAGAAACCCCCTGAGCACAGCATTTACTCAGGCCTGGATCTGTAAAGTTTGATTCTGAAAATGACAAATAAAGAAAACAATGTCCAATTTTATAGCATCATTTCACAGGAAGCATCTTATTTTTATCCCAAAGTCTTAATGTCTGAATGTTCTCACTCAAAGCCATTATTTCTTGTTGAAGGTCCAGAGCTCGTCTTTGTCGTGAAGCTTGTGAGTCGCAGCCAAAATCTGCAAAAGAGTTGCAACAGAAAAAAAAATCAGCATTGGACAGCAGTTGGTTTCTTCCTTTGGATTTCTCCTCACAGCCAGACACGATCGGTTTAGTTATACAATGATTCAAAAACAAGAGGTTTGATGCTTATTGACAAAACCTGTCAAATCGGGGTCTGGAGAAAGATCATTTTAAAGTAATTAAATGAAGAAAAAAATAGTTTGTCATACTCCTTCTCCACACTGATTTGGTTTTGGAGACATGCGACAGGCCGGCATCTAAAAGCGCTGATGTTGCGTCAGATCCTCCGTTGTACGAACAACCAAGGTCAGCTGACCCCATAGTGGAAAACACCTGAACAGTGAGAACAAATGTTTGGACTCCTATTTTTTGATAATATAAAGATAACACTGACTTTAAAAAAAAAAGAAAGAAAAAAAGTGAACATTAAAGGAGTGTGTGAAGCTGTAACCTGTTTGGCTGTGAGTCTGTTATCGGCATTGAGGGCGTAGATGGCCTTATCCACAGCCAGCAGAGCCACTTTGGCGTTCTGACCGTGGAGATCAAATTCCAGCTCGGTGGACGATCCAGGTATAAATGATTTCTTTGCTTCAACCTAAATTAAGATTAAGCTATTAGAGACATTTTTTTTTGTTCACTGTCAGAGTTAAATCAATTAATACATTATAACTAATATAAATACACAGGTCTCCACTGCGATGCTAATCCCCAACCCTCTAATCTTAATCTCAACCCCAGCCCCTCAGATAAAGTCACTTTACAGCCTTACAAGCAATCCAGAAAGTATCCTACTTATAGAGAATTTATTAATTCAAGCAAACACACAATCGACAGAGTTAAAGTTCTGTTTGTTGAACTCGGCTCCGGCTGCTCTCTTATCTGCTCTGTTTACTCACCTTGACCTTTATCTCACATTCATCTCTGACATCAACCCAAATGGAGTCCGCAACGATGTCGCCACTGCTGCTGTGATAGTAGCCAATCAGACGGAAAGAGGGAACCATAGCTGATGTAATCAGCAGCTTTTGCACGGCTGATATACCGAGTTTGAGAGAACCCTCCTGGATTATCATCCCACGACTCAAGACCTGCGACATTCAAACGTTAACATTAAAAATGTGTAACGATGATAAAATGTGGCTCATGAATCTGAAAACTTGTTGTATTAAATTTGATGTTCCTCACCATGTAGTACATATAACCAGTTGCTGGGCTGTTGATGGAGTTGTATGTCACTGTGAGTAAGTCACCCACAGAGTACACCTTGTTGGTAAAAGTCAGGTAAAGGAAGCTGCTACTCGGAGATGAAGCAACCTTAACTATCTTCCTCTCTGTCCGGCCATTTGCAGACACCTATTGCAGCCAGAGGTGGAAACAGTTAGGCCAGAGCAAATTTGATGACACCTCGAAATAAGTTTATGGATGCTTACCTCAACTGTGATCTCAGGCACACGGTTGGTGTTAAAGGTGTAAAACGCTGACCCGTCCCGATCAGTGGTGCCTTGCCAAGCTTCCTGATTGGATGCTGGTACATTCATAGTGACAGGAACACCAGCTGCTGGGGAGCCATCTGGGTGACGCATGAGCACCTATAATAGAAAAAACAAACAATCTTTTACTAGATATCGTCACAGCCATCTGCACAGATATATTTGTTGCTTTCAGACATACCACCACATCCAGCGGGTATCCAGGGAAGAAAACAGAGCGAGTTCGAGAGAGATCTATGATGTATTTGTGGATGATGACAGGAAGGTAAACTTCTGCCTCTTGGATTTCACCACCTAGAGGAAAAAGAAGAACAATGCACATGGGAATATTAGCCAAAATCATAAATATATACAGATTTTCTATTCTTTTTTTTTTACTCTCACAAATACGTATGCTGCAATATGACATTTAGTAAGAAATGTGTTGAAACCCAGCAGTTTGACTCACGTTGTACACAATCTACGATAAAATACAGAAATCATATTTTAATAAATTACACAACAGAATGTAAAAATTGTGTAATAAATGCTCAAGTTGAAATCATGGACCGCAATCGTGCATTTTTTAGGATTATATGCCAAAACGTCTTCTTTTTTTTGTATGTTAAGCTATAGCGTTCTATTTAGTTGTGTATTTTTGTAGCAGAAGTTCTTCCAGTAAAATGTACATATATGTTTATGGTGACAATATGGTGCTTTATGGAAAGTTTCATCGTGATTTTTTATTTTTTTTTAAAGTAGCTTTCACTACTCTTATACTCTATTACATAATTTATGACAATAAAACTCTTGAAGTTTAGAGAAAGTTGTTCACAATAAGTCAAGCTGCTGGATTCTGACAACACTTCTTATTAAATGTCATATTTTATCATCTGTAGAGATGCTTGACAAGAAACGGAAACCAGCTGTCTGACCATTTCACAGCATCTGCAACTGTGTAAAAAACAAAAATCTTTCACACTTAGTAACAAAAAAAATATTTCAAACTTGAGACTTTCTGACTTGAGAGGTTTCTGACTTCCACAATAGTTTATAGGTTGACAGTGTGTCCTTTACTTTGGATGTTGGTGACGAATACTCCCACGTAGAGTTGTTCTCCATTTCTCTGCAAGTCAGCCAACGATTTGTTTTTGAGTTTTGAACTGATTTTCGCTAACTGAAGAGAAACTGTTCCAATTCCATTCTCGACCTGCAAGAAATGACACGAAATATTAGCGTTCAAGTATATCGACATTTATGAGGACACGTAATATCGATGCACTTTGACGCCAGAAATTGAGCTTAGCTACAAATTTTCGGGATATTTGATCTGTTTCCTTACCGAGCCAGCCACCTCCAGTCCCTTGATGACGTTAGGCGTCATTTTGTCACCACCAGCTGTACCTTTTTTAATGACTCCAAATTGGCAGTGGTAAGCCCCTTTGACTGTCTCACCATGTGAATACCTAGAAAAAATATTTGTAACTGATGAAGTGAAGACACAAAGACAGTCTGAAAATGCAAGGTTAGCACCTGAGATAAGCAATCTAAAGACTAGTTTAGTCGTAACATTAATGTTTCAGACTAAGCACCAAGCTTTCTGCCTTCAAGAAAACATTTATGAAAATGTTTGCATCTACATATTAACAGCACACAATGTATGAATTAAATGAATTAACACTTACCTCGCTGAGACGGTGAAGTTAAGCCAATCATCTTCCAGCAAAATATAGCGCTGCTTCATAGTGATGTCCACATCAAAACTTGGTAAAACTAGGGTGCGAAACAATTCATGTTACTTGAGAATCCTACAGAATATAGCTAGTCTGGGCTGCATTGCTTACTGTAGCTTTAAATCAGATCGAAGGTTACCAAATTTTTGGACTTTGAACGCTCGGGAAGCAACATGTTCTTCATCGTCTCTATAGTGTGCTGTAATATTCCACGTGCCCATCCTTTAAAAAACAAAGCACATGTGTCAGAGATGCGCTGTGTTGCTATGTGAGTCACAATTTGCTTGAACATACTTAGAGACACTAGGGATGGGGAATGAGCCTTGGAATATTCCTCCTTGTGCAGTCCTGAGAGACTTCATTATTCTGTTTCCAACAGCATTCTGTCATTAAACGATAAAAGTCATGACGTGAAAATCTTTTAATAACCTCTTTTTCCCCCCAACGAATTTATATCTACTCACCACCACTGATATCTGGAACACTCCCTCATGAGGCCTCATTTTGTGGTCAAGTGTGAATATCCGGTATCTCACTAAAACGAAGACACTCAGCATGTAATGACTTTTAAAATCTTCACAGATAACAGAAATATTTTACATTGTTTTACATTTTTGTTCACTTGCCTGTCTGGGATGGGTTGTAGATCGGCTGATTGGTCTGAATGAAGATATATCCTTGATGCTTTGACACCAGGATCCTTGCTGTCTGCCTGGGTCTGAGGGAGGCGCTCTCTGCCACCAGCACAACATATGGAGGACCGTGACGATGTGTAATTCTCGACCAAACATCCCTGTTTATCTGTAAAGATGCACATCAGAAATCTGGGTTCATGACGTCCAGTTGCGTCTAAATTTTCTGCTTTTTTGTGTGAACTTTGTCATTACCATGAGCTCCACTGTTTTGGTATCCCCTTCGTCAGCACACAGAACAGTTTTCTTTTCAGACAGCACGGTACCAGTAGTCTCATGCTCCAGATGCAGACTAACAAGATTGTTTAGATGAGGTCGTCCCATCTGGACAAACACTTTCTCATTAACGCCCACGTGAAACACATTCGGGGCGGAGATGAAGAAGCTGCACATAAAGGGGAAACGTAAATCTTACAGCATGTTTCTTGTCTCATTGCATTATTAAAAAAAATACATAATGCTTGTTATTCCCCATCACAGCAAATGTACTATGGGCTTGCTTAATTGTTGTGATGTTAAATCTTAACGGACAAAATGCAAATGTATCACTCCGTGCATTAACCACAGTTCAGCATGCATTAACTACAGTACTATGTCATGCACATGCAAGCAGCTGTTCCTACGTTTACCTGTTTCCTGCTGAGTGATCCAAGGTCAAGATCATCAGCAGTATAAAGAAAACGTGCCCCATTGTGCGGCTTCTGCTTCCTTGCCTGCTCTGACACAGGCTGACACTAACGCTGCACTGAATGTGTCTGTTTTGGTTTCACAATGTGTAACTATCCTCTCATTGGTTACTGCAAGTTTGCCAGATTTCCCCAAAGTCATGTGATTTGCAAGAAATCAAGCGCTTTTCTGTTTGATTTGGAAAGAATCCTGCAGAAACTAAATGATTTATTTGCAAATTACAGCTTAACTTTATCTGCAGAATCCCATACGCTTCTACACTCCAGTCAATCAGTCATGCTTTTAATAAATGCCATCGAAACTTACTAAAGCTGCTTATTTAGCACATAATAAAGTCTTTCTCTACTGTTTACTTGTGATGTAATCCTTATCTTGTGTCCCTTCATAAGTGACCGAGCTGTTTGCTGAAAGAGATTTAAAAAAGCTGCCGAGCTATGTGCTAAACTAGTGCAATCAGGAACAGTGATGACAAAGAGACAATGTCTGAAGCTTTATTTATTATTTTACATAAACATTGCAATGACAAAAAGAAGGTTTTCACATTGTGCATCATTCAAAATTAAACACACAGACGGCAATTTCAAATTTAAACTAAACATATGAACAATGCAAGTGGCATAAACACACACACACACACACACACATAACAGGACTTGCCCCCAAATCAAACAGAACACACTTGATTTCTTGTAAATCACATGGTTTGGGGGAAATTGGGCTGCAACTGAGGAGATGGGTACACATTGTGAAATTGAAACAAACACATTCAATTCAACAACAGTTGATTAAAAAAAAAACAAAACCCCTGTCAGAATAGGCAAAGAAATAAAAGCTGCACAATGAGGCGCCACATTGCATGACTTTTCCAGTCATTAGAGCCTTCTCTAATATTTTGTGGACATTTAAATTGCAGTTTGTTTAAAGTGATTATCTCTTCATGTACAATCAATATTAAAGTAAAGATTTTCACAACAAAGGTGGAATGTTAAAGAGTAATAATACCAAGTAGCAATCAAATAACTGAAGATTTTGTACGCAACTACACTTTTAGAAGAAGAAGCATCTCTCCTTATCGTCTCCTCATCTAGGAATAATTTTACTCTCCCCAGTGAGATACAAGTTAATTTTTTTTTCCAAAATTTGCAACCCAACTAACTAGATAAGTTCATGTGTTTCTTTCTTGAAGTGGACCTTATCTCTCTGCAGGTTAATATCACCTAAAACTAGTGCAACAGTTTGCAAAAATTTCAAGGGAATTGAAAAATGTTCATCCACTGCTGCAGTCCTGGAGAAAAAAAAAAATGTGGGCCTGCATGCAGGAAAAAAAATACCTGCCTCCAGAAGCTCAGTGGGATTTTTAACATTTCTATTCAAAACGTCCCACACAGTTCATTACTCATTTTCATTTCCCTACGTATGTCCTTCTAGATAAACTCCAACAAACATCTGTAAATCCGGCCAATCCAACAATAAAAATGCAGGTGCCTCTGAGCACACAGCCACATCACATTCAGTTAATTCCTGTTTCGATCTCTGTATCACTGCAGTGAGAGGTAAGAGGGAGTCAGTGAGAGCTGGGGGCATGATGTCCATCCACAACTCCTGGATATGGAGAAGTATAACAAGAATTGCGTTTGGACAATCAGCACCAAACTCTCTGTTAAAATCGGGATGAGCAGCGATGGCATCCTTTCGTCCCGGGATCGGATCCTGCAATGGATGGAGCGTTTGATAAAATACAAAAAGAGTCAGAAATATCATAAAATGTATGAAAATTTTAAACATTTTTTTTTTCAAGCAGCTGCTGCTTGTTAAAAAATGTAAAAAGTAGTTGAATTGCTCTGATTTTTGTATCTAGAAACTTGTAAATGTGGACTAAAAAAGTGAAAAACTGTTTCAATACTTACACTGTGCACCATCAGTAATAGTGATTATAGTCCCAGAGAAGCAGCTAATAACCATGTGGCCCTCTGCACATGCAACATTTAAACTCTTATTCTATCTTTCTAACTTTTTTCCCCTCAAACGCTGTGAAGTCCGCTCTCTCCCTCTGCATCCATCCTCAACGGCCGCCTGTTCAGTTTGCCTGTCCATGTCCCCCCGCTCTATCTCTTCCCCACTATCCATCTCATTTCATGCAGGAGTGGGGTTACCTAAGAGACTGGGCTTCAATGGAGAAAATCTCCTTTTCTACAATTAACTGTGAAAGTGACAGAAGGGAGGGATCTACGGAGGGGTGCACACTCAGAGAAGAAAAGGAGAGGGAGGAAAGACAGCAGTGCGCATGGCAGGTAGTGGGACGTGAAGTTTAAAAAACCGTTTGCAAAGTTTCAACTTCACAAATTGAAATTATTATCCAAAAAAAGTGTGTATTAATGACCCTTGTTGTGGATTTATTTTAGCTCAATGTTTCTTTGCATTGCTCAGATTGAATTGTTTAGTTGGTGCATTTGACATTTTAAGTTATGAAACATACTCTGTATAGTCTTTAGAGTGAGTAAAAAACCAAATCAGGCATTAAATTATTATTTAAAGGGTAATGTTTTGGTGGTAAATTGCGCCGCATACTTTTAATGAACATGTACGTTCCAGTTTTATAGCATCTCACACTTGAATTGGGATTAGGCCCAAAGGAGGCTGCATTACACTGATCCCTGGAAATGAATTATGTCTCACCATAATCTCTAAAAATTCAGAGGGAGTGACCACTGGGTGAGCGTGCAGAGAAGTGCAACAAAAGGGTGTGGCGTGGGAATGTTGCCAGGGGTCAGGAGTGAGGGTGAAGGGGTCGGAGGTCAGAGCCAGCTGGACAGCACACAAGAGGAGATGAGGGTGAGAAAAGGAGGGGAGGGGGGAGTCCAAGAGGCTGACTGACTGGACCCAATGGGACATTAACATTGAACTGATGGGAGGCTCACTGACCGATGCCCATTCAAAGGGGGGGGGGAGCTAAGCTATGACACACTCGTGTAATGGCCCGTAGTAATTGACAAGTTGACAAGAAACTCATTGGGTATGCAAAAGCTGTTGCAGCAAGCTGCTCGCACTGGTGTTTAGTGACTATATGGGGTTATTGAAACTACTAAAAACTCAGATTTTTTAAAACTGTGTTATACTAAAAGTGTCTAAAATATCAAGAGATTTATTATTCGCCCTCAGCAAAGAGGTACCGATCCATCCGGGCCCACACATCCAGACTCACCAACACGTTCTATCCAAGTGCAATACGGGTACTGAACCCACACTAGTCTGAATTATTTATCATATATATATTTATTACTTATATTTTACTGCATTCTATTAATTATTATATATCATATAATATTTTATATATATTCTATTATTGATAATTATTTATTTATTTAGATTATTTGAATTTGATAGATTAGAATAGATTGAATTTCCCTTCTGGGATAAATAAAGTATTTTTCATTTCATTTCATTATTTATATTTCACATATATTCACAGTGTTCTTAACTCAACAGTGCAATATATTTATTGTACCGTTTGGCTCATTCCTAGCTGTATATACTTCCTGCTGGCTCCTTTTGTAAATATATTTATATATTCTTATTTGTCTTTTTGGATTTTGCACCACTGGAGTTGATCATAAATAAAATCATTCTATTCTATTCTATTCTATTCTATTCTATTCTATTCTATTCTATTCTATTCTATTCTATTTGGATGAACACACCTTCAGTCTTATCATCAGTTTGTGGACATCTCCAGTATCACCATTTCCTTATGATCACCAACATTACTGAGCACAATATAAATCCTTTGTTTTTTTTTTTTATTTGTCACAATATATCTTGTTTCATGTCGAGGAACAAAGTTTCTAGAATGTGCCAGGTGACAATTAAACACTCTTTATACAGGAACAAGGAGTTACAATTAAAAAAACAAGACAAAAAACTTTTAAAAACTGTTTTGTGGTGTGAGAGTTGTAAGAAAAGATGAAAAAAAGAGCAGCAGACATATACAAGCACTGATGAAATGTCAAAAATTATCACTCAAAACAACTCGTTGAGACAAATACTCGACATGTTGTTGTATAGATACAGTTGTCGATATTAAAAGATGCTTTTTAATGTCTTTTCCCGATGCTTTTAAGATCCTCCATCCACCTCAAGTGTGCAGACAGGAAGGTGAGCGTCTGTAAGCTGTGTCTGTGGCTGCTAGTGAAGGTCAGGTCAGTGGGGGCAGCAGGCAGTCTACGCTGGGGCCCGAACTGGGCATGGTGGTCTAAAAAAAGGACAATCTTGGGGCCCCCAGTCCAGGGGGTCAATATGCAAATAGTAACCCCCCGAGTGAAAAGCGCAGAGCAGATCAATTTTCTCACATTACTCTCGCTTCCCATGTCTGTGAACGTGCACGCCTACACGCCACATAACGCTTCCATATTTAATGAAATTCAGTCTCCACAATAGAGAAGGCAGCTGTATTCCAACAAAGGTATTAGTATGATGTCATGCGTTAGCGTGGAAACAGCCGTGAAGCTTCACTGGTTTGATGTTGAAAATAGTCAGTTTGTGAAATCAAGAACTGCACATATACATATTTTAACATTTTATGAAGATTTTTTTCACACAACATTTTGGTCATCTCAAGTGTCACTGGTCTGCCGTCCTTATCCTCCACATGTGTAGCAGATGAAGTTCAGCCGTTCTGTCTCGTTCAAGCCTACCCACTGCTGCCCCCCAGTGGCCTGAATGGCGCCACTGACGCCACATTCGTATTCCCCATCCGATCCTTCTCCCGCCACCCAGTTCTGGTAACAGCCAGAAGTCGACTTTGTCCAGAACCAAAACTTAAAGTTACAGGTGTAGCGCAGACCCAGCCAAACGTGGGCCGTCGTGGCGTTCTTTGCCTTTTCCGCCACTTTGTCCTGAATGTCTCTGGTGGTGACGTGGATGAGGTCGATGTGATGCTGTCTGCAGTAACTCATGGCTTCGATCCACGTCATGTTTTTCTGGATTAGTATCAGGCCTTCTTCATGTAGACAAAAAAAAAAAAAGAGAGAGAGAAAAAGCATGTAAATCCAGAATTTCAATGCAAAGTTATGCAAAATGAACATGAAAGGCCTGTGATAATTCAAACATACCCGGATGTGAACTTGGAGTTGAGGAATGTGTTGCTGAAGTTTCATTCGGTGTTGATGATGTGGTTGCAGTAGTCTCTGGGGGCGGCTGCGTTGTTGTTTCTGTAGCGGCGGTGTTGGGCCCAGTGCTTGAGGCGTGTGACACTGAATCTGTGGTATTCAGTGTCGTCGTTGTTGAAGCTGTGGTCGTAACATTAGTAGTGTTCGATTGATTGTTAGTGGCCACGGTGAAGTGAAGTGTCACTATGACTCCTTGACTCGAATTCGTTGACTCCTCATTCGGCGTACTGCTCCCCTGTGTGCTGTTTTGAGTGATGGTTGTTATCGGGATTAATTTCATTGCTGTGAAAAAAAATAATGACAAAAAAAGAGGATGATATTCGTGCATCATGTAAAATTACAAAGCAATGAAATGTAGCCTAAACTCTACTTTGCTGACATAAAAACATATAGAACGCAAACTTACCCCCACGGCAAATGAAATTGATTTTTCTTTTGCATTTTATGTCATTCCACTTCCCGTCAACTCTAAACAAAGCAACGACACAATGCTGATCTGTCTTGTAATTGGGCTGATTGGGTCTCCAGAAACGAAATGATGAATTACTGCCATCAGACCATTTCCAAGGGTCTTTAAAGAGGCCGATCCATACATCTTGCGATTCAGACACACTGTGCACTGCTGTGTTCTCTTCTGCTGATTGTATGCTAACCAGATCAGACGACAGGCCCCTGCAGTGACTCTGAGCGTTCCTCCATGATTTCTTCTGGGGAACATACATGGGTTTGCTGGCATCACCACTGCCTGTAAGACCAAAGTTGTTTTTTTGAACACAAACTGCTTGAATGTTACATGTTGAAAATGTGCATCATCCATTTACTCACCATGACAGACGAAGCTTCTTTTAATTTTACAGTCACTATCAAACCACTTGCCAGCCTGATCCATTGCTGCACATGTGTCTCTTTGTTCGTCCTGTGGTTGTCCTGCCTTCCAGTTAAAAAAGTCAGTTTTTTGATAAGGCCGAGACCAGTGCCACATCCAGACTTCCCCAATCTCCAGTCCTATCCAGGCTGTTTCAATCGAGTTTGAAATTAGAGTGATCAAACTGTTCATGTCTGTCGAGTTGTGAACTGTTGCTAAGTCAGTGTCTCTCTCTCTGCAATAGCTCTTTGCTTCATCGTAGGACTTTGTAAGATTGATGAGATGAAAGTCTGACGATCCCAGCGCGACGGAGCAAAATGCTGTGGAAGTACAGGCAGTGGATTTAGTCACAACAGTTTGACTACCAACAGCAATAACAAAGACATCACTGTGTGGTATTTAGCTTTATTACACCACTAGTATTTAAAACTTGATGTCTACGCAAATAGATTATATGCCGCTGCCTATGTCTGCATTGAAACGTGTGATATCAGGAAAGCAGCATACAGTGTTGAAAAAGCACAAACCTGCGATAAAAGTCAAAGTCCTGTTCATGACGATGAGTCTGCTTTCAGTCATGGTGATGGCAGTCGAATCGAAAACCTAACCAGATGATACTGTTCAGTGTTAATGTTGTGTTGCAGCCAGTTGCTGCTGTAGCTTTGAGCAGCTCAGTGTTTGTGGTAAGAATGCCACTTGGCTTGTTAATAGACACCTCCTCCAGAACAACTAATAGACAAAGCAGTTTTTCAAGTTTTTTTTTTTTCCCCCTCTCTCTTGCACAAACTCTGTGGTACGTAGTTTCCAGCCTGGTTGAGATGAAAAGATAAGAGAATACACCTGCCTTTACAACTGGAGAACTCTACAATTCGCCTGAAAAATTAATAATCTGGGTCGCTATAAAAATGACAGCCTATAAAATGTTGTCCATTAGTGACGAAACTGGTCAAGAATGCAGATGAGCGTGTCTGAAATAAAGCAAGAGCTGTCGAGGGATTAGGGGTTAAAAGCATGACAAAGTGTCATGAAACACATGGAGAGTGAACTGGAGTTTCCAGTGACATTTTTTATTTTTTTTTCTGTGCTGCAAAATGCTGCTGCAAGAGGAATCTGCATTCATGGGTTTGTAAAGTACTGCCAGCAATTTACACCTCTTAAGTCATTCCTCAGCCTGGAGAAAAACAGAGAGCAAAGATAGCTTCAAAAACAGAACACTGTGTTACATATTTTTGGATAGTGGAAAATATTACTGCAGAAAAAAAATCACTGGAGCAAGAACAAGTTGTGCAATACTTTATATAGCCCTCCTGTCAAAGGCAAAAGCATTCCAGCTCTTCTTGTAGGTGTGGCAGTACAAAAACAGAGAGAGAGAAAAAAAAGAAAGAAACCACACAATGCTGTTTACTTAAATATTAATTTAGCACTACCCCTCTCTCTATGTATATATCTATATCTATATAGATATAGGTATATAAATATATATAGATAGATATCTATAGATTGATAGATTGCTCTGTAGATGTTCATATTTTTTGAAGGTCATGTATTCTATGTCAGAACAATATGTGATGGGGAGTTGGGTGGAATTCATGCAAATATTCATATAGTCTGCAGACTTATAAAAATACCAACCACGACATTCATTTGGTCCAATTAAATGGTAAATCAAGCAGAACTCTGCTGCAGGGGTGTCATATGACAGAGCTGTTATGGGTGGTCCCATGAGACATTTTGGCTCAAGTGGGTAGTGGCACTGAGCCATCATGGCCTGTAAACAACAACAGCGTCAAGCTGAAGTAAACTGGATCTGAGTGTCGGCCTGCTGTCTGGAGCTCGTCTCGATCCCAACAGACATAGAAAAGTGGTTTCCAACAATGATTCGAAGGTGTGTCTGGTAAGTAAATCCAACCTTCAAACGACCATGAGCTATTTTGTCAACAGCTCTTTCTTGCATCAGGCTAACGCTAGCTGTACTAGCTAAGTTAGCCGCATTTTAAGCTAACAAGCTAATCTTAGCCAGCTAGAAAACATTGCGCTCGTCGTGTGGTTTTTACTGAAGTGGTTTCGATGGGTCCCGACGTTTAAAGCTCCGCGTTTTTAGATTCCAAACGAAGTCATATAGTAGCTTTACGCTGCATTTTAAAAAATTGTGATTCAGTCAGACGTCTGGTAACCAAAGCTAACGTTAGCTACAGTAGCTTAGCTTGGGTCTTGCGAGCTTTTATGGATTTGCAGCTAACTGGCTATCGGTAAAAGCTAACGTAGGTCATTCTTTTACATGTTTGTAGTCAGCTATGTGTTGTACTAATGTCAACTAATGGAAATACTAGTGAAAACTTGTGTTTTTGTGTGTATTTTGCCGTGCAGAATTAATTTGATACTGTTCTTTAAGGAGTAACGTTAATGTACGCTGATGCGTATCTACAGTAAACGTGAAATGTAACTGCGGTGCCAACAATAAACACTGGTTAATGTTAGCAGATGTTACTGCATCGTAGCGTGTAGCTCATTTTGAACACTATGTACTTGTTTCCTAGTGTTTAACCAGGTTGATTTGGGCGAACTGTAAATGAATTTGGACTTCAGTGTAGCGGATTTAACAATCAGTGTGTTCAGCATCGTAGTCGTGCCTCAAACAAAACGAAATCTTGTTTTTTGCCACAGACTATGCGTTTGATTTACGATTTTTGTGGTTTTGTACGTGGCCTGAATAGTCAAAGGGCTACAACTATTATTTTCTCTATTAATTGGTTTATAGAATGTGAGATCTTTAGGTGTTGTTTTGTGCTAACAGCAATTCAAAAGCAATTAAAAAAAAAGAGTATATTCTTACATTATTACAGTAGTTTCATTATTACACTATCAGTAATAAGCAATTAACATGCTGACAGTGTTTATTGTGCTTCTTGTTTTAGCTCTATTTACAATGCACAGTCAGGCTCATTTAAAGCAAAGAGCCATGTTTGTCACACAACTAATAATATCCTTTTGTGTCCCCCAACAGATTGATATCCTTCAGACGGGACACCATTCTCTCCAGCGGGTCGTTTTCAAGCCATGTCCTCACAGCAGCCTAATAGCTCAGCCTCCAACAGCCCCACCAACATCTTGGGTTCTCCTTTTTCAGTCATCAGTCCCTCTCTTAACTCTCCAGTGGTCTCACCCTCTCTGGGCTTCGGACCCATCAGCAACAGCCAGGTAACCGATAGCCCCGAGAATGCATGTATCAGTGTCACCGTGTGCCGTGTTTGCTAGTTAATTTGTACACAGCAGTAGGGCTAAAAAAATTACTTGATTTCAATTTGAGCAAATCGGAAAGGCCGCAATATAGGATGTATGTTACACTTTGCGTCTGACGCAGGGTTTAAATTGTTGTTTTAGTGGTGATGCACATTTTTGATGCTTTCTAATGTGCTGATGGCAGATCTTACATCTGTTACACAGCGATTTTTGAACTGAAGCTTAAAAATAATCAAATCAAGTCAATTTTTCCCTCTTTTTTTTGACAGTATTTCCAAAACAGTAACAAAGGGTGGATAATGCTACTTCTTACATGCAAAGTACACAAAAAAAATGGTGTTTAGTTAGTCAAACCAGTGTGGCCATTTTGTACAGTTAATTACAGTGTTGTACAGTTGTTTAATTCGGCTGCACTGTGTATCCAGATATCTTCTTCAGCACCCATATCAGGGATGCACTCAATCAGCAGCTCAGAAGACGTCAAGCCTCCGTTTGGCCTGAGGCCCATGCCAGCTCACAGCCCTGGAATAATGTTGTCTCAGAAACGACTGTGTGTCATCTGCGGAGACCGCTCCTCTGGTGAGTGAATGTCCGAAGAACAGGGTTTAGCCAAAGTGAACCGTCAGCTGGAGACTGTTTTATGTCGTGCCAACTCGAGTGTGGATAATCCTTTTCTGCCGGATGTTTTTTTTCTTGTGTTTTGTCACCATTTTCATGCAGCCAATCCCGTATTCAGGCTCGTACATACACAAAATGCTTCTCAGACTGTTGCGTTCACTATTGGCCCCTAACTTACTTTTTGTGTTTTACAGGCAAGCACTATGGAGTGTACAGCTGCGAGGGTTGCAAGGGTTTCTTTAAACGAACCGTGCGCAAAGACCTGAGCTACACCTGCAGGGATAACAAAGAGTGCCTGGTCGACAAACGCCAGCGCAATCGCTGCCAGTACTGCCGCTACCAGAAGTGCCTGGCCATGGGTATGAAGAGGGAAGGTATGCAAAGCGAAGCATCATATTTGAATACTTTCTTCATATTGAGAGCCTGTATGGCCATTAAAGGTTTAGTAACATGTTTAGTTGCAGGTTGTCGTTCATGCAAATATACCAGGGTGATGTATGTTGGAATTTTCTCCAACCATGAGTTGTGGTGTATTTTTTTTTGGAGTGATTTAAACATTGGCAGGAAATTAGAATCGGTGAAGTAATTAAATTATGCCATCCACTCAAATAATTCAAGTAATTTGGGATTAGTAGTATAATTATTTGGCACAGACGAGTGGATGTTTAGATTAAATTAGCGAAAGGGGTAGAGATGGATGTATTGGGGCTGGTTTATGTTACTAACCCCTCTCCATCTCTTCCCTTCATTTTTTTTTTTTTTTCCCTATTCTACCCTTTCTCCATCTTTCAATAGTGATCAAACATGTAAAGTGGATAAAAGAAGATGGAAAAGATGAGGGATGGATGAGTATGACATGTAAATCCTGAAGATACTGTACTTTAATGCTACTCAGAGACTTGGCCTGTTGTGTTAGAAATGCAAAGTTGATGACATTTCTGTGTGAAAACGGACCCAGGACTGAAGTAGATGGAGTGGCACACTGCCTTGTAATGATAGACTGCTTTATAAAAACGAAGCGGTCTGCCAGCTGCAGTTCTTTTGCTGCGTGTGTGTAAATGCATGTAAAAATCTGATCTGGAGTGGATCGGCGCTGAAGCAGGAAAGAATGTAATGGATCAGATTTTAGCGAAGGCCACAAGTTTAGATTAAAAGCATACAGTGTACGGTACATGTCGTATGAAGCGGGGATGCCTCTTCTGCTGCTGCTGCGGCGGCGGCTCTATTTTTGGTTGCTGGTTGAGGCAGATAGAATGTGTATGCTCTGTTTCATTGCCACTTAATCACGTTTAAATGTCAGTGTCCTGTGGCTGAAGTTTCATCAGGGGACTGATATTTCAATGGCCAGTGTCGGTAAACAAAGACAGAATATGTGGTGACAGTTTTGTGGGTCAGACAACAGCTTGTGTTGCTTTTACCTCTTTGAGACCATTTTAAACAACAGCAGAATCACTTTTTTTTTCCACTGCTGTTAAGTGTTAACAAACTTAACATGCTAGGTTCCTCTTTTTTTTTTTTTTTTTTTACCCATGGTGCTTTTTGCCGACAGCACCTCTCACTGGAGAAATGCTGCCATTTCTATAGGGATGGGGAAAACAATAGATTTTTTTTTGATGCATTGTGATTCTGTCTTTAACCAGGTAATGTTTAATTGCTAAAAAATATAGGTAGTGCATGTAAGGCACTTCAGTACCGTCATAACAAATGAATGCATGTAACTTTAACCTGCAACTGCACTTGTTGTTAATGAAAGTTGATTCATCAGATGTTTGTATTGTTAAATGTTCTACTTTGAATGTACAGTGCAGTAGAAAACAGAAATTAAATTGTGCGACGACATTTCGTAATCAGATGTTAGCACCCTGAGTATACAGTGGGAGAAGAGTGCTGGTGAACCCTTTGAAACTACCAGTNAAATTAAATTGTGCGACGACATTTCGTAATCAGATGTTAGCACCCTGAGTATACAGTGGGAGAAGAGTGCTGGTGAACCCTTTGAAACTACCAGTTATTCTGCATTAATTGGTTGTAAAAGGTGTATAGACCAGGGCTATTCAATGAAAAGTCACTGAGGTCCAGTTAGTAAAATTACCTCCAAGTAAAAGGTGCGAACTGAAGTCCAGTTTGTGTCTTATAGCCTTCCCCTGTGGCCACATTTTCATGGTTTCAACAACACTTATTGTCAGTGCAGGATGTGTTTAACTGAGTGCACAGTTAGCTCTTTTACCATATATATATATAAGTAGTCCCAGGCAAAACAATTGAGGCCTTTATTTCAGATTAGAGAAAAACAAAAACCTCAGAATAAATTAAATTTTTTTAAAAATGCAAACAGAGCCGAATAACCTCTTTATCTCTTAAATTAACGAGGTCCCAGTCTAAAGAACTGAAGGCCTCCATTTCAAGTTAAAAAGTCCTCAGAAAACAGCAAATTAAAGGTTTCATTTGCACGTTGCTGGGCTGTAAATGTGCTGGAGAGTCGGATAGATCTGTCATACCGGGCTTACAGCTCGGTTATGTTGCGTGCCCTCAGCTCGGACTTCAACTTTGCTCATAAGAGCTGTGCTTTGTTTGGTAGTGGCGCTTCACATGACTACTTTTGATTAATGCCACGTTTTCAGAGCGTATGAGGCACACTGCCTGACGGAAGGATGAACATACATTTCTGCGTCCAGTCATCTTCAAAGCAGCGGTTTTCCTCATCAGCCTTCCTACTTTTGGAGCAAGTCATGCTGTCGTCACTGTCTCTTCCTCTCTGCTCTGCTGTATAGGCAGCGCTAAGTGGCAGCGGCAGCGGCAGCGAGCTGTGGCGGTGCGCCGCCGTGCAGGGGAACCAAGCGATTTGATTGGCTGGATTGAGTGGCGCTATTGCCGTATTAACTGGAGTAGCAGCGCCCTCTGTTTATAGCCGCCACCGTCAGAAAAAATGCTCCATGAAAATCTATTCTCGTGAATTTATCAGAGATTGATCCGGACAGAACCATCACTCGGTCCAGATCCGGACCGAGATCTGCCATTTGGTGATGCCGGCTATAGACAAACAAAGTGAAGGGATTTGCTTAAGCTAATAATAACTACTAACTGTGAACAGATTTAAAGTCATTCTACAGGGCAAAAAGTGGATTTTGTGTGTTTGAGAGCATTTTGTAGTAGATTTATGTTTATGTGTAGCGTCGTTGCTGTGCTGCATGAACCCACACTGACCGAGCTTCAGCTGGTGGACAGTTACCGTTATTATCCTGAGCTGATTCAGCTGACGACAGATTTGATGAAGATTTGAAATTATAACGTAGGATTTGATACACAAATGCAACTTCAAAGGATTCACTTTTACTTTTCCCCCCTCTGTAATTCAAATCTTGAGGAACTTGCTGTCGAGATAGACAGTCCTACATTTTAGTTATAACTGACAACTGACTTTAAGAACGTATTTTCCCTATTACTGACAAGATTCTAATTTTGTCAGCACAGCATTTGAATGTGACTTCCTCAACGCAGCAGCAACTCTGTAGAGAAGCATTTTGCATGATGTCACTCTAGAAGTCAGTTTCTTTCCCTGAGAGTCTTCATCCTCCGGTCTTCTCTTTCTGTGTGTTTTGTGCAATGCAGCGGTTCAGGAGGAGCGCCAGAGGAACCGAGAGCGCGAAGGAGAGCTGGAGTTCAGCGTCGGAGTGAACGATGAGATGCCCGTGGAGAAGATCCTGGAGGCGGAGACGGCTGTGGAGCAGAAGACTGAGCTTCACTCCGATGGAGGCTCTGCAGGAAACTCGGTGAGTGGACGGAGCGTTGGCGTCAACACATGATCTGTTTTTAATGCTATCAGTTTGGGTGCCATTTTTCTAAGATAACTTCATTAACATGCACATCCAAGTACAAGCTGACTGAAATCATGGGAAGCATTTATTTTTCATGGCTCATTAGGAAATCATGGTGTCGTCTTGCTCTGGTTTCAGCCCCACGATGCTGTTACCAACATCTGCCAGACTGCAGACAAACAGCTGTTTGCCTTGGTGGAGTGGGCAAAGAGAATCCCTCATTTCTCCGAGCTGCCCCTTGATGATCAGGTCATCCTTCTGCGTGCAGGTATGAACAGAATGATCTGCAGGGAACTGTGTTTGTAACGTAAGCACACAGAACATCTGTTATTCAAAGGACGTTATCAACATACACACTTTGCATTTTTGTGAGAGGCGCTTCAGTGTTCCAAAGAAGGCTTCTGAAAAAGGAACAAGGCTGAAGTTAGCAGTATATTTGCATATTTAAGTAAATAACCTTAATTTACATGTTTCCAAACACAAGGGGATGTTTTTTATTCTAGTGAAACATAATCTGACAGCAGAGTTTAAAGAGGCTGTTAACCTGTTTTTTTTTTTTTTTCTGAATAAACCTTTAAAATAACTGTAAAACATCCTGAAGGTTAAAATATGTGAAACTTGTAATTAACAAAGATAAATGATGTATTGAAAATGGATTAAACAGGAAGTCTTTTACAGCAAGTTGTACTTTTAAAGTCAAAGCTATTGAAAACATTCTGCTGTACTTTCCCTTGTTTGGCTCTTGTTGTGTGTTTGCTGATGTCCCAGTGGGAGTTTTTGCCCAAAAGGGCAACGAGAAATAGTAAATAGTTTTCTCATCGTGTGTTGTACTGGCACACTGAGTCACAACCCAGCACAGGGAGCCGGATGCGTCAGGCTCCTGGGGCTGGTTTGCAGTTGAGATCCAAACAATGTTTTTGTGGTACAAGTCTACAGTGATTTTATTTTATCCTGCCCTGTCCACAGGTGAAATATTCTTCACTGCTTTCCTTTCACCCCACTGTGTAATTGTGTTTCATTCGTCAGGGTGGAATGAGCTCCTGATTGCCTCGTTCTCCCATCGCTCCATCCCTTTGAAGGACGGAGTTCTTCTGGCTTCTGAGCTGCAGCGTGAAGGCGCACACAGTGCAGGGGTCGGAGCCATTTTTGACAGGTACATCCACAGATGTAGAAAAAACGTAATCAAACGTCAGTTGCGTGTAACTTTAATGACTTGCGTGATGTTTTACAGGCTTGATGTGTGATGTAATGGTTTTTATCTGTTGCAGAGAGAGTGTGCAGAGTGCAGAAGTCGGCGCCATATTTGACAGGTACTGTTATGCAATAGTAATGAGTGTCTTTAAATAAAATCAAATTTCTCTGTTTCTTTATGTTTTACACTCTGAAACTTTTTTTTTGTCGTGATTTAGGGTTCTTACCGAGCTTGTCAATAAAATGAGAGATATGCAAATGGACAAAACAGAGCTGGGCTGCCTCCGAGCCATCGTCCTGTTCAACCCAGGTACGTGACATCGCCGGACAGGTTTTTTTTTTTTGTCTGTTAGGCTTCGTTGTTTGGTGTCCATCCACTAATGTTTCTGTTTGTCCTGCAGATGCTAAAGGACTCTCCAACACCAGCGAGGTCGAGCTCCTTAGAGAAAAGGTCTATGCATCATTGGAAGCCTACTGCAAACAGAAATATCCAGAGCAGCAGGGAAGGTAAAGGCCCCCGGCTACGACAGGCTCGGCCTCGACTCGTCTGGTCTGTTGTTTGTCTTGTCAAGTGAAGTGATAACATCTTTGTTCCCCTCGCAGGTTTGCAAAGCTCCTCCTTCGACTGCCGGCACTGCGATCCATTGGCTTGAAGTGCTTGGAGCATCTCTTCTTCTTCAAGCTGATCGGTGACACGCCTATTGACACTTTCCTCATGGAAATGCTTGAGGCTCCCCATCAGTTGTCTTAGATAGGAAACGCGTACTGTGGTTTAGATAGCTGAAGTCTGGGAAGCGGGCGTGGGACTGGAGTGGCACTTTAAGTTCTTTGAAGATTTGTCAGTTTGTCTCACTGCTGTCTGCGTTACACTTCTCTAGTGCGGCACAGATTTGCTCTTTAGACCAAACCCAAGGCTTGGCATGATCTACAAGCTGGTGCTATATGTTGAAATGACTTCATGAGTAACTATGGTAAAAAAAAAACAAAAGTATTTTTAAAAATGTAAACATTTACATATTTCCCTCACAGGAGCTATAATTTGGGTATACATTTTTATATGAACTTTTTAGACACCTCAGACATTAAGATTCAGTTGTTTCTCCAACTGAAGTGATCCCTAAAGCCTGTTGTTTTTAAAAAAAGAAAAAGAAAAAAGAAGGAAAGCAACCTGAATTACGAGTATGCATTTAAGGATGTAGTCTTTTTTTTTTTTTTTTTTTTTTTTGGAATAAATTTCAATTCAAGCCAGATCTAAAAGTTTGTACCAAACAGTCACTGGGTACTGTGTCCCAACAGCTCAGAGTTGACTTGTATCCACTGCAGATGATAAAATCCCACCAGTAACCCCGATAGAAGACAAGTCGGTGGTTGAAAACTGTCAAGCCCAACTTGTCTGTGTTGATTGCGGATCAGCTTTATGTGTCTCGTATATAGAGTTAGTGTTGTTTACTTCTTTGCCATTTAAAAAAAAAGAAAAGAAAAAAAAAATCTAATCACTTCGTGGTTAATGATTAGACTGCACTGCACACTTGCTATGTACTATTTCTAAAACATACTTTTTAACAAACGCGCGCGGCCTCTAAAACGGCCAGGACGTTTGTCTTTTGGTGCTATTTCAGAGATAATTTGACGTTTTATTGGTGCAGATGAAACACCAAAACCACAAACCTAAGAATATATGCAAAAACTCAAAAAAAAATTTTCCTCGTGTTAATCTTTTGTTTTAAAATGTAGCAATATAAGATGTAAACTGCATAAGCTTGTCAGTTATTCAGGGGTTTTACAAAGTAAATCATTTCTGGCGGTGGAAAGGGAATACTCCATTTTGTAATTTATCTATACAATTCTAAGGTACTGTGCAAAAAGTAATTGTTCAGGGAAAATGTACATTGATAAATTTGAATTATGATCAGGAAATACAAATTATATAATTCTTAATATGTGCCCTTGTTTTTTTTTTTTTTAGTTTTCAGCTAGTATAAAGCAGAACATGTCTTGGGTTGCACTGGATTTGCTGAGACTTTTTCATCTTTTTTTTTTTTTTTTTTTTTGTGCTTTATTTTTTTTTTTTCTTTTTTGAATGCTCAGTTGTATTTCCTACCTTTCCCTCTTCTTTAGGTAGCTGTCTTGTTCATTGTAACGTCTGCAATTTATTAAAAGGCGAACCATAATTGCATTTAGATCCATAACACCTGTGGACATAGGAATTTTAAAACGAGATCAAGTGTGAGGTCTGTATGATGGTAAACACCAAGATGAGCTGTGTTGGTGAGCTTGTCTCTGTATGCTCTTGAACTAAAGTGACTTGAAGCATGGGTTGCGTGGACTAAAAAAAACAAAAAAAAAAATAAAGAGGCTTAAGTTTTTTTTTTTTTGTTTGCTTTTTCTTGCCTAGAAGTGAAACAGGTGTTATGTTTTTTTCCCCCCTCCTCCCTCCTCCTAGAAGAAACTTTTGGGGCAAACCAGCACAATTAAAAGATGACGAAATAGTCAAAAGGATGTTTTTAATGAGCCTTTTTATTGTAGTCGTTACATAGCTTTTGCTGTGGGCATAGATGCAGTAGAATCCTTGGTTGTATAGCACTTTGTGTCCACAGTGATGTTATGGCACAGGCAGCGATGTGTGATGGGTTAAATTATAAAGAAGAAAAACGTCGAGTGCAATGAAGGCTTCTAAGAGATTTCCACAGGAGTAGCTGGTAAATTCCATCACTGCGCGTTTGTTCTCGTGACAGTCTGAAGTGAAAAAAGCTTTCGTAAGCCCTACAGCTCCAAAGTGAACCTCCCTTTGTATCAAGCAGAAGTGACACTTTTTTCTTTCTTTTTTTTGTTTTTTTTTAAACCATGCATGGCTTGGTTTTCTTAAATTATATTTAGAATAACACTGCTTTTAGTCTATAATACACTATTCTACACATGGAGCAAAAATAAAAACAAGAAGAACATAAAGACATTGTCATGACATGTACATCGTTTTACAGCATTCCCCCCCCCCTTTTTTTTGAACGCCGTTCTTGCAAAATCAGTACAATCTGGGAAAACGCGATGAGCTCCTTTTAACTTCAGTTCTAATAAGTGGTGGCGTGCTACACATCGAGTCTAAGGTGCTGAACAGTTTCCAGTAAATTCAAAACAAAACAAAATGTAGTGCTGGTGTGATTTTTTTTCTTTTTTTTTTCTCTTTTTTTTTTAATGTAGCTTTGTCATGATGCGCTAAAAAAAATCTGTCCTCTCTCAATGGCTATGCTTCCATCACAGTGAGATTTAGTGGATAGATTGCAAAGCTGCAAGCCACGTTAAAAAAACTGAACACGTTATAAATCCAGTCAAGGCCATTCCAGATTGATTAATAGCACAATTAATTCAAAAACGTACCTATATAATAATAATCAAAAAAACGCTAAACTGTGGGCTCCTTTGTATTCATGTCAATACATGTTTGAAAATCAGTAAACTATGGAGACTTTATGTGCATGTGTACAACCACTACTAATTCTTATGTTTTCCCTGATGTTCGCATTCATCGTTAGAGATGGAAGAAGTACCCCACGTGTCCTGCAGATGACAAACTCTCCAGTGATGCCTGTTGAACTGCAAATGAATTTGGCCTGTTTTCGATTATGACATTTTTACCTTCAGTTAGTTTAAAAGTGAATAATACCCATAGCACACTCTGGCTAATATTTGTTTGACCAATAGGTTCCTTGTGGCTGGAAGTGACATAAACAATTAAAACAATGGTAACAAACTGTGCTAGAGATGTAAATTCTAGCAATTTTGGTTTTTTTTTTTCTTGGCTGCAGTTTTATTAAAGCTGTCATGTCAAAAAATTATTCATACCCCCTGGACTTGTCACAAATATATGACAAACCTGAAGCTTTCTTCCCTTTCCAAATGGCCCAGTGATTCTAATCTGAGCTTCACTGAATTTTTGAGGCTGATTTAGAGAGTAAATAAATGCACAAAAAAAAAAAGTAGGAGTTCCACAGGAAGAGAAATCTCAAAGATGCTAAAAGTGGCTAAGCTAATTCGCTCACCAAGACCATCCTGATGAGTAATTTAGGTATTAACATCTCAAAGCAGACACTAAACAGGGTTGATCTTCATGAATGATGACCATGATAGACTTCTCTTAAGATAGGAACACCTCACCTGGCCCTTGCAAAAGCTCACCTGGACGAATAAGAAACCTTTCTGTCATCAGTTTGTGGTCGGACGAGGCGAAAATGGAGTCACAGGGATGTGGCGCTGCGAATAATTATTGAGAAAATGGAATTGTGGACGTTGCATTTGAAGACAGAAGCAGTTCCATTTTAACATTTACATCTCTAGCACAGGGCTGCACGGTGGATCGGCGGTTAGCGCCGCTGCCTCGCAGCAAGAAGGTCGCCGGTTCGCGTCCTGGTGAGGACAGCCGGGGATCTTTCTGATTGGAGTTTGCATGTTCTCCCCGTGCAGCGTGGGTTCTCTCCGGCTTCCTCCCACACATAATGAATGGATCTCTAGCACTGGGTCTTAGAATCTGTTGTTTATATCATTTCCAGTCTGAAACAAAAACCTGTTGGTCAAATAAAACTTCACTATAAAGCAACAAGTTGGCGTGGGTATGAATAATTTAAAGCTTAACTGTACTTTTTTTTTGGAGCGGAACTATACATGCCCACATTCTACAGTAAGGCAACAGGATGCAGCTAATGTGCATAGCCGATCCCTAAGTTGTCATAAATACTTTAAAGCTATCTTCGTAACTTATCTATCTGATCCGAGAGACGTAACATGGAGGAAACCTTTGCCTAGACGAGATTTTAAAAACACTGGTTAAAAAGAAATCACAGCTCATGAATGATCTACACGGCACCCCTCGCAAGACCGCACATCTGTAGCAACATTTTCGTGATTATATGTCCCTGAAAACGTCTTAATAAATAACTGTCTCTGAAAGGCACTCTGAAATGTGCAGCTCATAGTTTCTACAAAATAATAACGACATAACTCTACCAAGATTGCTCTCTTGCACCGGCTGCCTTCAGTCCCCAACGTGAGAATAGATCAACGTGATGCAACTTGTCTACGCTTGTTGAAGCTAAAAAAATGTTTTGCATGACGCAGCATTAGTCTGAAACTAGTAGCATCGCCGGTCACAGCTACCGAAATCGTCCGTAAATTCTGTCTCCGCTTCCTTCTTTAAAAAAAAGTGTTGATAAATTCCTTCCTATTCATTTCACAAAACTAACGCACATCTGCGTCGAATCTGTCGGCTTTGATTGGACATTAAAAACTGTGCTACTGTTGAATTGCTGGTTGAGTATAATTTCAGATTCAGATGTCAGAGTGGTTCATCAGTGTCAAGGATCTCACATTCCATTGATACCCAACTTTTACATCCAGTGCAATTGTTCCTTATTTGAGCACCTTCTTGAGCAAAAATGAAACACAAAACTACCACAGTAGTATATTAACAGAATAACCCTCTGCACAAAGCCATCTAGTCAATAGATGAAATGTCTTTCAATTCAGTTGAAGCTTGCGGGGCCGACACGAAACCCGAGCAAACGCTTGTCCGAGGGTGTCTGTACCGCCCTCTGGATTCAGTCAAGGCCACAGAGATTGAAGCACTGCCAACCGTTTCGATGCCCTCAGCCTTAAAAAATACACTTTTTTACGGGTGTTTGTGTGCAATGTCACGTACGGAGGATGATTGCGATTAAGCCTTGTGAGTGCAGATCATTGATGTTTATCCAGCAACAGCGAAGCTTAGTGGTTTGAATGCTGTTTCTGCTCTCTCTGCCCATCAGTTCATGAATAAAATCGTGTTTATCCTCTCGCGTGCAGGGAGAGCCTGCGTCAAGCCCATGTAAACCAAACTCATAAAGATGAGATCAACTCATCAAAGCCGGGAGGAGGAGGTGGTGGGGACGGGGAGGGGGTTGTAGTGCCAAGCCGGAGCGAAGTGGGTTTGGGTGTAGGCATCGGGGATGGGGGGCAGTGAAAGGGCTTCCAGATGTCTAAACGTCCAGCAGGATCCGGGAACAGCTCACACCTGCATCTCCGAACCGCTGGACAAGCCGAGAGCGTTGGCCTCCTCCGTGGTCAGACCGTTCTTCAGTGTCCGTCTCACTGTGCAGTCAAAGAAGGGAAACAGAAAGAGAGTCAACGTTTGCACAGGGATTCTGCCGCTGTGCCACTCGTCAACGGTCGACAAGCAACTCACGTGATTTTCGGTTGGCTCGGGATCGTCTCCTCTCTCGAGGTTGCGCCCGCTGGCTGGGCCCCTGAGTGGCTGACCTCACAATCCTCTCCATGATCTCATCAGCCGTGTCGTCTGTGCAGTTCACTGGGTCGTCGCTGGCAGAACACCACGGGGCAACACGCCCTGAAACAGCCGGGTCACAGTGGATGAGAAAACAAGACGCATTGCGTAGGAAGGGCAGGTTTAAGAAAACATGACTCGAGTTAACAGCTGTGCGACTTGCTCTGCGGGCTAAAACTAATAACCTAATACTTAGTCATAAACAAAACTGAATTAGTGACCTGATTACGGGGCTTTCAGTGGCACCTCCAGATATGTGTCATAGGGGTGGACAGATGGGAATATCAGGGATTCTTTTATGCTGTTGTAGTTTATTGACACTTAAGGATACTTTGGTTTGTCATTCTACAGTTAATGTTACCAATTCTCTAATGTGCACAGACTAATATCGGCACATTTTGGTTATTTGGGTCGCTGCTGTCCAAAGCAGCCCAGGAGGAAAGATGCTGCAGGGTGTTTGAGTAGGAAAAGTTCACCTATAAGTAGAAGTCCAGAGTTACTTACCATGTCAACACTGAAAATTCTGTCCATGTGTGATGGAATTTAGTTTCTAAAAACAGCCACTATATATTTTCAGTGTTGCTGAACTACCTGTTGCCATATTTTGGTTTCACGATTAGGAAAGTCATCCTCTGTAACTCATCCATACGCATGATCATGTAATTGTTACAAATATTCGGCTGTGAGACTGAAACAGAATGATTGCTCTGATAAAAAAAATATATAAATCAAGATATGACAGAAACATATTTAGATTTTAATAAACAGATCAGACTTTAAAGTAAGAAGTCTGAAATGAAGGAAAGTGTTCCATGTTAGATCCTGATCGATGCTGTTAGTTATCATTTAAAGTATAATACATAGTTGTAGTGTAATTTAAAGTAACTTAAAAAGTATCCCAGTCAAGAGGCAAAAACTGTGTCAACACCTGGATTGGATTCATGACTCGTGAGTTCCATTATTCTGACCTGTTGACCCACTGTGTCGGACATTTTAGTTTGTAAAAGATGCAAAAGCTCAACATATACAAAATTGTTTTGTGGTTTTGGAGAGGTCTGCAAGCTGCCCAGCAGACTGGCTGCAGCTACACATGGACCTGATGTCCACAATCACAGACCATAAGGTGCATTCACTCCATGTCCAAAAGGGATTCGGGCTGTCCGACTGTCAAACAAGTGAATTACCCACAGTTCATTGTGCTGTGACATTAAACATGGGGTTACCTGGAACTGGAAATATTAAAGACAGAGGTAGACAAGCAAGCAGAAAAAGAGGGAGGAACCCAATTGTTATAAGAAAAAAGTTGACATGTAAGTATAAAGACATAACTGATGATTCATAACCACAACGACATGTTTTGTAAAATAAAAAAGTCCCAAACCCACAATAGTATAACACATGTTTTAGCGTCATTTAATAGGTTTATCACAAAGTGTTGCCCCGTTCCTATTTATACCATTTTGTGCTTTTGCAGCCTTTAAGTGAAGTCTATGAGGGTTTAGTGCTCAGGGTGGAGACTGTCTTGTAATGCTGCCTTCACTTGCCCTGGGGCAAAGTAGTTGCATTTACTAGACATCGGACTAGTAGCAGCGAATGCCCTTTAAAGTTACCTGTCAGAAATGAGGTGGTTACCTTGGTGGCCAATGAGATTTCAGAGGTGCCACTGGAGGCATTATGACATTTATAGAAACGTTATCTGGCACCGTGAATGTCACCGAATAAGTGCAAAGTTTGACATATTGGTGGTGTGGGAGGAAAGGTCAGATGATCACCAAAGCACCTATTATTTATCCGATGAGGGAACCCAGAATTTGATAGCGCTCCAGCTAACGGTGGCTAAACGGTCCAGGTTAGTGTAAAGGTTGGATTACTTCAGTAAAAGTGAACTCCTGAAGCAAATCTGAGTATAGTAAACAGATGATGTTAACGTTTATGAGCCTGACCTCTGGTACTGCTGGCTCTGGTGCGAGTTCGAAGGCCCGGCACCGTGGACGTCCCGCTCTCTCCGCCCTGCAGGCTGCTTTTTAGTACGGCCTTCATGTTCTCATGTTCCGCTGCATCTTCGGCGTACTGGATCCCCTGAGGCTGGCTCTCCTGTGCGTCTGACGGGCTGCCGCCAAATTTACCACTCTGTGGGGGGAGTAACAGGATTACAGTACGTGAGATTTTATTAGTGGGGTACGGCGAAACTCAACTGCATGCTCTGGATGCTTTTTTAAACAGCTTTACTAGTGACATGGCACTTTCCAGCCTTAAAATAAGAACAGTTAGTCATTTCCACACGTGTTTATTCAGAGGCACAAACAAAGAAACTTTTCGTCTATGACTGTTTCTTGAAACAATGCAGACATGCCAAGAGCTGTGAGGTTCATTATTGTCACCCAGGAAGTATCCGATTCCGCCGAGTCACTCAGCGTCATGCAGACACGTCTTTCTCTCCACGTGTCATCACCATCCAGCTTCCTCATTCATGTGTCAGTCTCACTAATCACCATCCCTTTTGTTAATTGTCATAAATACACCAGGCGCTGTACAAAATTGCGACATCATGTTCAGGTTGAATGTTAGTCACGACACACATGCGCTTGTTTGCACACAAAGTCGCCCCCCTACCTCGCTATCATCGTCTTCCTCACTCTATGGAAATAGAAAAAAAAACGGTAAAAACTCCATGACTGTGTAACCCTCGATTTGCATTCTAAACATAAAAGGAACGTTCAGCTTTTTGACAAATATGTTTTTTTGCTTTCATGTCAAGAGTCAGATGAGAAATTTGATGCTTTGAGCACCACTTATTTTGATAACTGATTAAGTGGTTTTCGTATTTATCCATCCATCCATCCATTATCTATACACCGCTTAATCCTCACT